CAGCCTCCTCCAGTGGGGGTATTCCAGGTGGAAGCCCTGGTGTGTGCGCAGCTGGGTGGCCACACGTCTGAGCCTTATCCTTGCCCTACAGGTCATTATGCCCGGTTACTGTGTGCAGGGCACTGTGGGCCACAAGATTCTCAGTGGGCAGCGCAAGTTGGAGATGGAAGGGCGACAGGTGGTGAGTCTTCATCCTCGCCCATGGGCCTGGGGACAGTGGCCCCCTGGCACTGATATTTGTACCTTGGTGCTACAGCTGGAGGTGAAGATGCAGGTGGAGTACATGTCGTTCAGCGCCCATGCTGACGCCAAGGGCATCATGCAGCTGGTGGGGCAGGCAGAGCCAGAGCGTGTGCTGCTGGTACATGGGGAGGCCAAGAAGATGGAGTTCCTCCGGCAGAAGATTGAGCAGGAGTTCCGTAGGTGGCCATGGGGCGCTGCAGAGGGTCACCAAGCAGGGCCCACCCCTGGGACTGGTGCAGACGGGGCTGGCCAGCTCAGACTGAGGTTCTGTCTGCACCATCTCTACCCCCAGGAGTCAGCTGCTACATGCCAGCCAACGGTGAGACGGTGACGCTGCCTACGAGCCCCAGCATCCCTGTGGGCATCTCTCTGGGACTGCTGAAGCGGGAGATGGCGCAGGGTATGAGGGGCAGGTTGGGCACCAGGCAGGGTGGCTGGTGAGTGGGTGACATGTGTTGATAGCCACACTCTTCTCACAGGGCTACTTCCTGAGGCCAAGAAGCCCCGGCTACTGCATGGCACCCTGATCATGAAGGACAGTGTGAGTGTGTGGATGGAGGTTGGGGGTAGCACCCCTACTTGTCCTGACCTGTCCCTGGCCCACAGAGCTTCCGGCTGGTATCCTCAGAGCAAGCCCTCAAGGAGCTAGGCCTGGCCGAGCACCAGCTGCGCTTCACCTGCCGTGTGCACCTGCAGGACACCCGCAAGGAACAGGAGACAGCCCTGCGAGTCTACAGCCACCTCAAAAGGTGTGCCTGGCCTTCCTCTCCATCCGACCCCCTCCGCCTGGGTAAGGCAGGTCTCACTGTGCCTCTCCACAGCACCCTGAAGGACCACTGTGTGCAGCACCTCCCTGATGGCTCTGTGACGGTGGAGTCTATCCTTATCCAGGCTGCTGCCCACTCTGAGGACCCAGGCACCAAGGTGCTGTTAGTTTCTTGGACATACCAGGTAGGTGGTTGGAATCGCCAGTGCCCCATTGGGAAAGGTAGGTGGGCTCTCTCCCTTGGCAGCCTGTGCTGCCTGGAGCAGGGTGACGGCCTTCTCGCCTTTTTTGTAGGATGAGGAGCTGGGGAGCTTCCTCACGGCACTGCTCAAGAAGGGTCTCCCCCAGGCCCCCAGCTGATGCACTGACCACCCAGGCCTTCACCTCTGCCTTTCACTGTGCCCAGCAGGAGAAACTCGGCTTCCACTCCTGGATTCTGGGTGCTCTGTGTGAGCAGATCCCATGGCCAGGCTGGCTGCAGAACTTGTTCTAGGACAAGGCCAGAGATACAGCTGGCCTAAGTGGATACCTCTGTCAATAAACAAGCCTCAGGGGTCTCCTCACCTTTTATTCTTGCTCCCAGGCCCCTGGAAGATAGGGGTAGTATTCCTGGAAAAGCAGAACCAGGGACATTTGGGTGTTTACACCTGTTTCCTGCACCCCAATCTGTGTCAGTCTCCTCAAGGGCAGAGGGGCGGGTTGTCCAGGGTGGCAGGGACTCTGGGTAGGTTGAGATTGAAAGGAAGCAGGAGAGGTGGATGTGCTATGTATATTGATCAAGATGACCAGGTTCAACAGCCAGACCTAGGGTTCTGTGGCCAGGGTCATCATTTCCATACTGTGGACCCTGCAGGGTGCAGGAGGCAGGATCTGTGGAGAGACTTTAGGTCAGCCTGGGGTGGGGGTCACCCTAGAGCCACCACCCCAGGGATTTTGCTCAAGGGGCCTAGAAACAGGGCTCTGAATCCCATGCTGTGGCAACTCCTCTCCAGCTGGGTATCCTTTGGCCAATCCAGCTCCCCTCCTACAGCCTTCCCATTGGGTACCTGGGTTTCTGTGTTGGACAGCAGGAGGGCTTTGACTGACCTCAAGATCCCCCTCCCTCAGGGAAGACCCAGCCTGGATGGGTGGTGCTGCCTCTTACCAAGGTCCCTGAGGCCTCCATACAGCACTGACTTCAGAAACAGCCCATGGGCTGGAGCAGGGTGGGCCTGGTACTTGCCTAGGGGATCTTGACTCTCCAGAATCACCCTCACCTGGGTGGGTGTCAAAACCCCGAGCCCCACAGCCACTAGCACAGCTGTCATCCTTCGCACCTGCAACCCAGAATGAAGCTGCTACAGGGGTCTGCCTTGGCCCACCCCAGGAGGACCCAGGACAGCCCACCTGTCGATACAGGAAAGACTGGCTCTCGAACTCCAGAGTCCAGAAGTGCAGCTTCCTAGGACATAGATGCCTGTGATTCCAGGCCGAAGGCCAGTCCCAGCCACCCAATCCCACCATGTGCTTTCAGACAAGAGTGTTTGTTGATAGGTTGGGGATGGAGACTAGTTGTCAGCTCTCCAAGTACTAGCCCTCACTTACCACCCATCCCCAGGAGGGGCCCATGGGAAGGAATCGAAAGCAGTCACAACCTGTGTGAGGCAGCAGTGTACCCAGGGCCCTCACATGGAGAGACCACTAGGATGGGGATGCTCAGAGGGGGGCACAGCCTGCTTACTGCCAACACCCAACCCCTAGGCCTGGTGCTCTTCTGCCTGACTATGCAGAAGTCTCCCTTGGGGCTGCCCTTGACTGGGAAGGTTCTAGAAGTCAATAGCTGTCTCCACCCTCTGCAGGAGGCCTGCTGGGGGCAGTGGAACCCAGGCTGGGCTGGAACCACTAGTCCCAGTGAAACCTTTCATTGGCTGCCAAAACCTGTCTGCTGGGCAGAGCTCTGGGCAGGCAAAGGTTAATACTCTGTCCCCAACTCCCAGCCAGTGATGGGGGAGTGCTACCCCGTCTTTGTTGGGAGAAGTTCTGGAGCTGCATTTAGCCCTGGTGGCCTCCCAAGTGGCACCAGGGAGGACCACAGGGCAAAGCTCTCTTCCTCACCTGTTTTCCTGGGGGAGGACAAAGGGACTGGTGGGGCCAGGGGATACTGAGGCTCGGCGCAATGTGCGCACTGGGCTAGCAGCCGGGCTGCCAGCTGACTGGAAGGCGCTGAAGTCATGTGTCCCCAGGAGGTGCATGGCAGCTTCCTGCATGGCAGGTACATCCAGACGGCTGCAGGACACCAGGCAGGCAGTCAGGAGGAAAGGCCCAGCAAGGGGCCTTGTGAGCCCCCTCCTCCTGACTTGCATTCACCCCCACTCACTCTGTTCGGAGAGCCCAGCAAAGGTTTCGCTCAAACACAGGCAACTGGTCAGGACCGGGACAGCCAGTGGCCAGACGGTACAGGTAGGTTCTGGAGGTGGCTGCATGGCGAGCATGAAAGTCACTGGGCACACGAAAGACCTGCAGAACCCTGTGGCAGCAGGTCAGGCTCAGCAAGGAATAACCCCACCCACATATCCAGGTGACACCTCAGTGCCTGCCCCTTCACCTCCAGGTTCTTCCCAGTCTGGACTTCCAGCCTCCACCCACCATGGATCACCGGTGTCAAGGAAGAGTAGGGCACAGGATAACCATGCTCAGATTGGGGGCTCACCTGATGGCTGGGTGCCTCAGGTGAGTGTTGAGGGCCTGGGCCACCACCTCGGGGGAGAAGGGCGGCTGGCCCGGGCGGCGCTGGACATCCAGGTGCGCCGTGTTGCTCAGCGCGTGCACTCCCGCATCGGTACGGCTGGAGATGGTGAACCTGACTGGCTCTACAGAGTTCAGTCGCTCTGCGGCCTCCTGCTGCGACAAAGCTTTGGGGCAGCGGAGCTAGGGCCAGGGCCGCAGGGGACACATCCCCACAGGCTCCCACCGGGGCCTCCCGGAGAGTTGCCTCCCTCCCAGCCGGGCAGACCTCACCTCCAGGTAGTTCTGCACTCCAATGGCACGTTGGGAGCCTCTGACGGCCGCGACTCCACTGCGGACAGAGGCGAGTGGGGTTACCTGATGAAGGCCATCGCGTCCTGCCCACCCCGCCCTAAGGCTAAACAAAGCATTTTCTGGGCCCGAAAGTTGGGCAAGCTGTACCCGGGCCACCCTGTCTGCCCGCTGACCCTGGATTTAACTCCCGCGAGCTCTCCCCGGCCGGGTCGCATCTTTCCTGCTAGCCAGGTGACGGATGTCGGGGGAAGGCCGAGATACGTACTTAAAACCAGTGCCCAAGTACTGGAAATACACGAGATAGCGCGCCCGCACTGAGCGCACTGCGCCGGAGGGACCCATGGCTAGTGCCCCACGTGTCCTCAGGCCGGCCACGCCCACCGTGCCTGCGCCTGCGCGCTCCCCGCAGGCTGCCGGGGAGAGGCGGGGCTGAGGCGGGGCGAGGCCTAGGGAGCGGGTGGAAAGTGCCGCCGTCGCTGAGCGGCCGGCCGGACCGCGACTGCGCCCTGGAGGCGCGCTCATAGCCACTTATTGCCCCGCACGCTCTCAGGCGCCCGCCTCCACTCACTGGTTAGCTCCCCATTCCCGCTCTGCCGCCCACCGCCCGCCCAGTCCTCAGGGGCGTGTCTGTCCGCCGAGTAGCGGCCAAGACCTCCCAAATGTGGTTTTTGCAAACGCCCCAAGTTGCGCAATGGCTAGGATGGCTGGAGCGGGCGGAGCCCGCGCCCTCCCGGTTCCTGGGTTTGGCCGACGGTCCCCGAAGCCCAACTGTCTCGGCCCATCAAGCTCCCCGACCCTGTGGCAGTGGACACAGGGAGGGCGTTTGGTGACACTCCCCGGAGGTGAAAGCAGTGGTGCGCGGTGGCGGGTTCGGCGACGTTCCCTGGCTGTGACAGCAGGCAGCGCGCGCGGCGGCGGCGGACTTTGGCGACGCTCCCTGGCAGTGACAGGCGGGGCGGGGCGGCGGCGCGGCGGCCTCATTCCGGGGCGGGCGGGCGCCGAGCGCGGGCGGGCGGCCGGGGGTGCCGCTCGGCGCGCCGCGGTCTTCGGTCCAGTGAGCGCCCTGCCACTGCAGCCATGACGGTGGAGTTCGAGGAGTGCATCAAGGACTCGCCGCGCTTCAGGTGCGTCCTGGCCGCCGGGAGAGGGGTGCGGGCGGGGGCATCGAGCCGCCTTTGTGCGGGCGGCGTTGCTCAGCGTTGCGACCGCGCTGTGGCCGCCGGAGACCGAGGCGGAGGGCCCGGCTCGGGACAAAGCAGCGGCCCCGGCCCGCCCCTGCCCCGGGGGACTAGAACAAAAGACGCCCCTGTGTGGCTCACCTCGCTCGGAGGGTGTGAGTGTGGGCGTCCCAGCCCCCGTGCATCAGTGTCCGGCTGGGCAGTTGTGGGGACGGCCATCTCCAGCACTGTCCACCCCCGCTTTGTATCTACACTTTTCTGCTGTGGCAACCTGTACTGGCTGAGGTCCCCCCCTCCCCCCAGCCACCCTGCAGCCCAGCTCTGGGCAAGGTTGTCTGGGTCCAGGGTGTTCATCCCTCGACTCTGTTTTAGCCCATGTGTCCAGAGCAATGCATGGGTACAGGCAGCTGTTGCTACGTTTAGGGCCTAGAGTAGGCCACTTGGTAGGAATGAAGGGTAATTTGGCCACAGGGCCTGGAGGGTGGGGGCTGTCCAGGATGGTGGGAGAGGACAAGTATCCACTGGGGGTTTGTGTACCTTTCATTATTCCTGAGCATGCAGGCATGCACATCTGCATGAACCACATATTCATGGACGTGTACACAAGTGTGCATCTGTTTCAATGGTTGGACAACATTTGGCAAACAGTAATGAAGCACTTCCCATGTGCAGTTTGCAAGTATGCCCCTTCGTGAGGCCACATGCCTCTGCACATGCACATGTGTAGGTGCACATGTGTGAGCTTTGCCACTCTGCCCCCTTTGAGGTGCCACACCATGTACCTGGATGTGTGGGTGAGCTGCCCCCTGGACTGACATGCTTTGTGCCTTCACTTAGACTCATGATGGTTAGAGGCACGCATGTGTGTGTATTACCTGTCCCTATGGATTCACATACTGAGTGTGTTGTGCTGTAAACACCTTAGTCTGTGTATAGGTGTGTTCTAAGACCAGGTACACATGTCCATGCACATGTTTGCACCCCATTCTCTGGAGCACATATGTATAAACACTCTGCCATTGCATGCATGCATGTTTGTGCATGAGCGTGTGTCATGCTTCTGCATGTGTATTCTTGGACATTCTTGCATGTGCATGCTGGGTTTCTGGGAGCCTGCCTCAGCATCCTTAGAGCCAGCCTCTTGCAAAACCACCTCACCAGGAGTCATTAACAAAGGCCTTCGGGAGCCTGGAGTTGAGAGGGTCAGGGTTGGCCCAGAGTGGCCCCAGGCCCTGGGCAGAGAGACTGGAGGTCATCCTCTGGGTTCTCCCATCTCTTCCATTGCTGACTGATCTGAGTGACTCAGGCACCCAGAATCTTGGACCTGGGTTGTGGGGGAGTCATGGCCAGGGCCTCTTTGCTGCGGCTTGATCTAGACTGAGGCACCCAACTTCACCCTTACTCAGAAGCCTGTGGCTCTTCCTCCCACTGTGGATGGGCATATGAGGGACTGGAACCCCATTTAATCCTGGGCCTCCCCTCCCACAACCAGCCCGTTGAACTGCTTGGAGTGTCTCTCTCTGGCAGGGAGGTGCCTGGAGCCTGCCTGTGAGTATGGGCTGGGGTTGAAGATGGCTACTGCACCTTGATCTGAAGGCTGTGGAAGCCTGGCTCCATGCATTGGGGTGGGCTGTGATTTAACTGGAGCTTGCAGAGCCTCTGTCCATTACCTTCAGGTGTAGCTCATTTGAGGGTGGGGCTGTGGGAGTATGTGGAAGCATGGAGAGCCTAGTCCCCGAGCGTGCTTGGGGTCTCCTGGCCTGGGGAGGGGCTTGTAACAGTCTCAGGGATACCCCCTAGACCAGGGGCACTGTGGTGGGGGTCCTGAGAAGCTGAGGAAGGGGCACCACCTCAGGGTGTCATGGCCTGTCCCCTGGGTGGGGCTTCAGGCACTGAGTCAGGGCTTTGGTGGAGGGGCCTCCTCCCCTGGCCCACTGCAGGGAGCCAGAGAAAGACCTCGGGTCCCAGTCTGAGGAAAGGAGAAGAAGGGCTCCTGCTGAACCTCCACTGAGCACCCACCCTGTCCCCGCAAGCACGTCTGCACTCCTGGCTCAGCACGGCCCTGGCCATCTCCTAAAGACGGGCTCCTGGTCAAGGGCAGTGGCTCTGGGTGCAGCTGTCCAGTCTTCTGGCCTTCTCAGGGGAGCCGGGGTGACCCCATAGCACTCTTCTGGGCAGACGCTCCCTTCTCTGTTCTGGGACTCTCAAGCCAGTGGTCAAAAGTCCAGAGTCTGAACTTCCCTGTGTCCACACCTCCAGGCGGTATGGGTTGGCAGTAGTTGCAGGCACTCTTCCTAAGCCTGGCAGGCTGCTGTGCACACACAGGTCACCCATGGTCCAAGCAGCTGCCGAAGCTCCATTTCCTTTGTCCCCACTTTGGTCCAGGACTTAGGTTCCCTTAGCCTCTCAAGGGGTGGAGGCTGCTCCCAGAACAGCTGATGTCCGGCCAGCACGGGCAGACAGGACCTTTGATAGTTCCTGGCTGGGACAGCCTGGCCATTTCAGTCCCAGCTCCAGACCATGTCCCATGTGACCTGTCGGTCCGATCCCTAAGTTTAGAAACTCCTCCTTTCTCTGCTTGTCCTGAGAGTGGGGGTAGCAAGGGGTGAGGGGATGCTAGACCTGGGTGGCCTCCCCTCTGTTGGACCCCCCACCCAAGACTTGTCCCTGGAAGACTGCCTCTGCCCCAGCCTGTGCCTGTACCCCCCCCCCCCCGGGTTCCTCATCCCAGGCAGGTCAGATGGGCTTGGTTCACCAGAGCTGAGTTGACTGTGCAGGGTGGGGGACTGCTGGGATCCTGGCCCTATTTCCTTATTTCCTGTTCCCAGAGGGTGGGGGTGTCACGTGCCTGATCCATCTGCCTCTGGCTTCCGGGATTCTCCCCTGGCTTCTCCCGGTGATGTCATTCCTTAACTCTTCCCACCCCATGGCAGCCCCATTGTCAGGCTGCCCTGATGGGAGTGGGCTCTGAGGAGACCTGACCCACCTCTCCCTCCAGGTGGACTGTGCTTATTGGAGTTTTGGGGTTGAGGAGCTGGTGGACCCCACTTCTCAGCTGGTTTGGGGCTTTATTTTGCTCCTCAGCAAGGCTTGGCCCAGGCTGTCATGAGCACCACCACTGTGGCTCTCTGGCTCCCTGCTGTCCTCAAGGGTTGAGGCCTTTTCTAACCTCTGCCCTCCCATCCCCTGACTCCTGGTGCATCAGTCTCAGTTGGGCAGAGGGTGTTTCCACCAATGTAGCCTCTTCCTGGGGTGATGCTGGGTGCTGGATGGCTCCAGAGTTGCTGAACCTGGGTCTCTTCCCTCTTGCCCTCAGGACAGAGTGATCACCTCTCCCAACCTCAGTTTCCTGGAAGCTTCTTTCTATGGCAGACCCCCCTGGGGAGGTGCAAGGGGAGACGAAGCCCAAGTCTGTCCCCTAGTCAGCACAGCGGGCTGCAGATTGATCCCAGCCACCTGTTCTTGTTGCAGGGCCACCATCGATGAGGTAGAGACAGATGTGGTCGAGATTGAGGCCAAACTGGATAAGGTGAGGGGGAGGCCTGGGGCACATGGAGGGTCAGTGTTGCTCTGCCCGCCCATCCTAGCCCCCTAGTCTGAAAGCAGGACTGGCTTTTCAGGACTTAGGAGCTCATGCACACCCAGCAGTGTGCAAACACTCATGTGCATGCTCAGGACCTGGATCTGCCCCTGACTCCCCCATCCGTGTCCTCCCACACACATCCCAGGGTGCACATACCACGTGCATATACGTGAGTCTCATCCCCTTGAGGGCATGACCCAGGCATGTCACCCAGGCCTCTGCTGGCTGCTGAATGAGGGACAGCTGCTGTGTGGTTGTGCCCAGTGTACCTGGGTTGGGGACCTGGGGGTGACAGAATCAGTGCCGGGGAGGAAGAAGGGACTGTCAGTGCCATGAGCCCACACTGGCTGCCTTTAAGTCTGAAGTGCCACATCACACCCCAGCCCTAGCACCCTACTTTAAGTTCCCCTGTCCTGCCCAGTCTGCTGCTCCAGAGCCCAGACCACGGACTGTCCTGTGTGCCAGCAGGCTTATGCAGGCTGCTCAGGGGCAGCTGCATCCTGGGCACCAGTGGGCCCTGAGTTGAATTCTGACCTCGCACTGACCTCCCTTGGGAGCTGTGTACTTCTCTCTGGCTGGAATGGACCTCTCGGCCATTGTGAGCATTGCTTATAGGAGCTGCCAGACCCTCACCCTTCCTGCTCTGTCCCATCCATAGCTGGTCAAGCTGTGCAGTGGCATGATCGAGGCCGGCAAGGCCTACGTCACCACCAACAGGCTCTTTGTGAGTGGTGTCCGTGACCTGTCCCAGCAGTGCCAAGGTGACACCGTCATCTCGGTGAGGTGCCAGCTGGCTTTTGAACGCCAGGTGGGGGTGGAGCAGGGAGACAGCCCCTCAAGGGTGCCCAGGCTCATGAGCAGGTGTCTGGACTCTGCTCAGGTGCAGCTCTGTATCCTGTGGGCAGGGAGGGGACCCTTTGGACATGGTGAGGTGCCACCGGCACCATGGCCTCAGCCCTCTTGCTCTTCTCCCCAGGAATGTCTGCAGAGGTTTGGAGACAGCCTGCAGGAGATGGTCAACTACCACACGGTGAGCCTCATGGGTGTGAGGCCCCAGCCTCCATCATGCTGCCTCCAGCAGCTCCCAAAGGCCCTCCCTGGCCTGGAACAGACTAACTAGCTCACAGGGAGCCAAGTGGGTGGCCACCCATGAGGGAGGCCATGTCCTACACATCCAGTCTGTGAGAGTGGTGGCCACCCATGTCTGTGAGTCAGTGGGGTGTGGAGGCCTCCTTTGGGAGCCCTGCCATGTCCCAGGTAAGAGACAGACTGGGTCCTAGAGGCAGGGGAAGTAGCACAACCTAGGGCCATGGGCAGTGGGGTCTCAAGGTGGGGGAGACCTCGAAGCTCATCCCGATCTCCCAGCTGAGCAGAGTACTCACTCCATCGTCCCAGCTGACCCTGCATCATCCCTGCGAGACTCGCCCTCACTATTTGGGCAGGGCCAGGACTGGTGGGGACAGACACACAGAACAGGCTGAGGCACATGGCGGGGCGTGGTCTGGGAACTGGAGCCCAGACTAAACGCGGGGCCCCCACCCCTGCAGGGAAGTTCAGAAATAAACCTGCTCAGGATGGCTCAGCTGAGTTCCTGTCTCTCTGCCTGTCCTGGTTTGGCCCAGCCCTCCTCTACATGAGGGTTTGATTCTGAGTGCTGTGGGGGGACCCTGAAGCCCCTCCACTATGAAGCCCTCACCACCATGCCCCAGTTCTCCCCAGGCTGGCTCTGATGGAGCCCTTCCTGCTAAGGGTGGGCAGCCTCCAGTGGCTGTTATGTGCTGCCCATGTGAGCACTGTGGGTGTAGCTGAAGGAGGAGCCCATCTGACAGCATTAGTCTGTAGACTGGCTGAGGGCCAGGTGGAAAGAGGGGCAGGTGGTCACAGCTGTTGCCTCTGGGCACCAACCCAGGCTGGGAGTCATTCTCTGGCCCCCAGAGGCCAGCTCCTGGTACAGAACAGGCTGCACTGGTAGCACCCTCTGCAGAGAGCTGGGCCCAGGCAGGTCTGGGTAGGAGGGTAGAACTCTCCTGATTCTCACTGCGGGGATGGATGGGGCCTCCAGTGGGTTGTTCTGTAGGGACAAACCCCCACTAGCTCCTCCCTGCCTCTCTGTCCCCAGATCCTGTTTGACCAGGCCCAGAGGTCTGTGAGACAGCAGCTGCACAATTTTGTCAAAGAGTGAGTGGTCCAAGCCCCAAGGTTGTGCTTCATCTCCAGGACAGGGGAGTGGCCAAGGGTATCCAGACCCAGGTCTCAAGGCTGGTTGGAGGACCCAGGGTCCAGCTCAGTCCCCATAGGTGTGGTTGGGTTGCTGGGGGTACCATAGGGGAGATGTTTGTTGACTTTGGATCACTGGGTCTGGAGTAAGGTGTGAAGGGCTGGAGACATCCTGGAGCAGGGAGCAGGGGAGGGGGCTGGTGGCAGGGGTGGGGTGGGGGCCAGGATAGCGAGCAAGAAAGGAGGCCCTGCCCAGCAGGCAGAGGAGAAGCTGGGGCTGTTAGAGGTTGGCTCAGCACATCCCTTCTCCCGCCTCTGACCTTTGACCCAACACTGGCCTTCAGGGATGTACGGAAGTTCAAGGAGACGAAGAAGCAGTTTGATAAGGTGCGGGAGGACATGGAGCTCTCCTTGGTGCGGAATGCTCAGGCCCCCAGGCATCGGCCCCATGAGGTGGAGGAGGCCACGGGTGCCCTCACCCTCACCCGGAAGTGCTTCCGCCACCTAGCCCTGGACTATGTGCTCCAGGTCAGCTGAGAGGTTGGCTCCTGAAACAGGGAGGGGTCTGTCCTGCACGAGTCAAGAGGTGGGGATGACCATTGTGGGCTGAGGGCTTGAGGACCTTCAACAGGAAGGCAGGGGTGAGATTCTTGGCTTCGCCTGGATAGGACCCTGTGTCCAACATGGGAGACTGAGGCTGGCATGGCAAGACACTGAGGATGACCTGGGGCTCTCAGGACCACTGGCAGCCTGAATGGACTCTGGTCAGGTGGAGCCATGGGTTCCTGGCCCTGAGACCTGGCCTGTTTGCTCCTCCTCTGGCAGATTAATGTCCTCCAGGCCAAGAAGAAGTTTGAGATCTTGGATTCTGTGAGTGCTTGTGGGGGGTGCCTGTGAGCAGGCCCATGCAGAGAGCCCTGCTCACTGGCCCCTGTGCCTGCAGATGCTGTCCTTCATGCACGCCCAGCACAGCTTCTTCCAGCAGGGCTACAGCCTCCTGCACCAGCTGGACCCCTACATGAAAAAGCTGGCAGCTGAGGTGAGCCTGGGGAAGGCGGACCCGGGCCAGGGTCTCAGGGGAGGGGCTCACTGCCTCTCTGATGCCCCCAACCCCACAGCTGGACCAGCTGGTGATCGACTCTGCCGTGGAGAAGCGAGAGATGGAGCGCAAGCACGCGGCTATCCAGCAGCGGGTGAGGCTCCCGGAGCCTGCTCTCAGCCTCACCCCCCCACCCCCCGGCCCACCTCCCTGCGGTCCCGACCTGGGGCCACAGGCATAGCTGCATGCCCCACCTCCCCGCCAGGCCCATGCCCTCTCTGCCAGGCTGAGGCTGCTTCCCTCTGGCACGTGCAGTGAGAGGGATGAGTCCCCTCCTTGGGAGCTTCACCGTGTGGGCTGGGTGCGAGGAAGGGCTGGAGCCGGGACCTGAGGCCTCCTGCCTGAGGGCTGCTGGTCCTTGGCCTTGGCTCACCTGCTGCACAGTGGCCTGGGCCATCACCAGATGGGGGTTGGCTGCAGGTGGGAGCCACTCTGGTGGGCCTGAGGCAGTGGGATGGTAGGGGGTGGGGCTACTTGTGGGTTGTGGGAGGGCCCTCACTCACTGGCTGTCTTTTCCCCTCCCACCCGCTCCTCCTCTGGCCCTCAGACACTACTGCAGGTGAGATTATCCACCCTTGGGCGTGTGGGCATGGGCATTGCAAGGGGAAGCCAGGCCCTCCCCGCTTGGGGCACTTCAGCACCACGGACACCTCCCACCACCTCCAAAGGCCGGGACTGCACCCGCCACCTGTGGGCTGGTTGCTGGCACCAGCAAGATGCAGGCTGAAGCCGGACCCCTTCCCCCACCTGAGGGAGTGGTGGCAGCTGTGCCTTCCTGCCCCCACTCAGCCTGAGAGCAGGTGGCCAGACCTCTCCTCCTCTGGCCTGGCCTGCTTGGATGGAGGACACACAGGACACCCAAGGCTCTGGCTCCTCAATGGAGCTCTGTCAGGCTGCTGGAGCTGACCCAGCTGGCGACATGCACGGGGCACTCAGGATGCGGGGGGGGTGGGGGGGCGGGGGGGGCTTCCTTCCTGATTGCAGCCCTCTTGTCCTGCAAGCTGCTGGGGGGGATTGGAGCCCAGCTGTGAATGCCAAGGTCTGCCTGCGGGGTCTTGGGCAGGGGGTCTCACCCAGTCAGGAAGTTGCAGTACCAGGCAGAGGGTCTCCTGTCTGAGCATGTACCTCAGTTCGTCCTTCACTCTGAGTGAGCCTGGGAGGATGGCGGGGTCTTCTGGTGGTGGCCACTCCCCGAGGGCTGGCTCTGCATTCCCCAGGACTTCTCCTATGATGAGTCAAAAGTGGAATTCGACGTGGATGCGCCCAGCGGCGTGGTGATGGAGGGCTACCTCTTCAAGAGAGCCAGCAATGCCTTCAAGACATGGAACCGGTGAGGGCCTTTCTCAGGCAGGGCTGAGGGCAGGCTGGGCCAAGAGCAGAGTGGACATGGGGCCAGCACTGCCTGACCCCCTGCCCATCCACTTCACCAGGCGCTGGTTCTCCATTCAGAACAGCCAACTTGTTTACCAGAAGAAACTCAAGGTGCGTTGGGTTGGGGTCCTGGTGGCTGGACCCCTCCCCACCTGGACTATGGGGTGGGTTAGTCAATGGGGGTTGGCACAGAGCTGAGGATACTGATGGACACCAGGCCCGAATGGTCAGGTAACAGGGAGTTTGGAATAGATTGCTGGAGATCTCTAAGGTGAAGAAGAAAACAGGTGGTCAGTGCCAGGTGGGGGTGAGCAGATAGATGTCCACAGTGGTGCTGCCCACAGGATGCGCTGACTGTGGTGGTGGATGACCTCCGCCTGTGCTCCGTGAAGCCCTGTGAGGACATCGAGCGGAGGTTCTGCTTTGAGGTCGTGTCGCCCACCAAGTGAGGAGGCCCAGCCCAGGGCAGGGGGGGGAGCCCTACCCACCCAGCCTAACCAGCCCCTCCCTCCAGGAGCTGCATGCTGCAGGCCGACTCAGAGAAGCTCAGGCAGGCCTGGGTGCAAGCTGTGCAGGCCAGCATTGCCTCTGCCTACCGCGAGAGCCCAGACAGCTGCTACAGCGAGGTGTGGCCCACCCTGCCCTTCCACTTGCACATGCTTGCTTGTGTGTCCATGAGGCAGCTCCTGCAGGCTGCATGTGTGTGTGTGTGCAGTGCCATGTACATGCGTGTGCATGCTGCATGTGTGCACACCTGTGTGTGTCTTGGATTGTGCTTGAGGGCCCCCGACTGGGGTGGGGGAAGGGCCTGCAGGGGAGTCGGGCTGAATGGCCCCTCACACTGTCCCAGAGGCTGGACCGCACAGCATCTCCGTCCACAAGCAGCATCGATTCTGCCACGGACTCTCGGGAACGCGGTGTCAAGGGTGAGAGTGTGCTACAGCGGGTACAGAGCGTGGCTGGCAATGGCCAGTGTGGCGACTGTGGCCAGCCAGACCCCCGCTGGGCCAGCATCAACCTTGGCGTGCTACTCTGCATTGAGTGTTCAGGCATCCACAGGTGGCCTCCCTGACTCGGTGGGGTGGGGCAGGGCCAAGCCAGGTGGAGCTGCAACCTGACCCAGCCCTATCTCCTTGCTGTCCAGGAGTCTGGGTGTCCACTGCTCCAAGGTTCGGTCCCTGACACTGGATTCCTGGGAGCCAGAGCTACTAAAGGTGGGGGGTGCTCTTAAAGTCCTCTAGGACCCTGGGTTGGGTGGGAGTATGGGGTCTTTTGAGCTTGTACGGACCTCCACACACCCTTCTCTCACCAGCTGATGTGTGAGCTTGGAAATAGCACCATGAACCAGATCTATGAGGCCCAGTATGAGGGCCTGGGCAGCAGGAAGCCCACAGCCAGCAGCCCCAGGTGAGGTGGGGTGCAGCCCAACTTGGCCAGAGGAGCCTCAGCCAGTGAATGCAGACTCATGTTTGCCCCTGGTCCAGGCAGGACAAGGAGGCCTGGATCAAGGACAAATACGTGGAAAAGAAGTTTCTGCGGAAGCCTCCAACAGCACTGGCCCGAGATGCCCCAAGGCACTGGCGAGCACAGAAGTGCCAGCGCCCCCACAGCTCCCCCCGTGCTCCTACCACCCGCCGCAAGGTCCGACTTGAACCTGTCCTTCCCTCAGTGGCTGCTCTGTCCTCAGGTGAGAGGGCTGTTAGCAGCCACACCCATTTATAAACCTGGGCAGGATCACAAACAATTGTAATTCTTGCAATTCTCTGGGTCTGAGCCCCTGATCCCTGAGAGTCATGGTGGGAGGTGGGTTGGAGACAGAGGCACCTTGGAACTCTGTCCAACTCCCAGTGGGGCCTGGGGCACCCTCCTATCCTGGTGCTCAGTTTCCCCCTCTGAACATGTGGCCCACCCCCCAGCAGCAGGCACTTTGGAGCGCAAGTTCCGCCGGGATTCCCTCTTCTGTCCCGATGAGCTGGATTCCCTCTTCTCCTACTTCGATGCAGGGGCAGCGGGGGCCGGTCCACGCAGTAAGTTCTGGGAGGCCCCATCCCCTGCTGCCCACCCCCTTTGGGGGCTGCCACCCTGTCCAGGAAAGAAGGGGAGCCAGTGAAGACTCCCTGGCGCATGGACAAGTATGGACGGCATTTGCTCAGGGACAGAAAGGACAGCTTTTCCACATAGGAAGGACAGAGCTAGGCAGTGTCACAAGGAGGTTGGGCTGGCCGTGGGGAGAGCTGGAGCTTTAGCAGGGCTTTCTTGTTCACCAACCTGGAGGCTGAAACTGGGACTGTTAAGAGCTCTGTGTGTGTGTGTGTGTGTGCGCGCGCGCACGCGCACGCACTGCTGGAGGGCCTATGTGCATGATGGGAATGAGGGGGGTGACTGCAGGCAGCAGAGGGCGCTGTCGCCTTGGCCCTAAGCCTCAGGCTTCTCTGAGGCCTGGCTTCTTCCCTGCTGGCCAGGCTGGGCTTCCAGTACCTGAAGACCTCAGAACCTGGCCCTGGGCTACCCTTGGCTCCTTTGAGGCCTGGTGGTTTTTTATCCTTTCCTCTTTCCTAGCTAGGGCTGGTTCTGCCCTTCCCAGGTCCCCTGGAGGGCCAGTGGGGCTAAGCCTTCCCTGTGGTTCTGGGAAGAGTCAGGGGCCTGCCTTGCTCAAGCCCCTCACCAGCCTGTGACCCTGCAGGTCTAAGCAGCGACAGTGGCCTGGGAGGCAGCTCTGATGGCAGTTCAGACGTCCTGGCCTTTAGTGCAGGCTCAGTGGTGGACAGTGTCACTGAGGAAGGTTGGTACACACCTTTCCATCTCGCTGCAGCCCTGGTATACCCCCACCCAGTGAAGTCAAAGACCCTAACCCTGTCCATCTTCTCGCAGAGGGTGCAGAGTCAGAGGAGTCCAGTGGTGAGGTAGAGGCCGAGGCCGAGACCGAGACGGAGGCCGAGGCCTGGGGGTTGGCAGATGTGCGTGAGCTGCATCCTGGACTACTGGCTCACCGCGCAGCGCGCACTCGCGACCTCCCCGCGCTGGCCGCAGCGTTGGCCCACGGGGCGGAGGTAAACTGGGCCGACGCAGAGGACGAAGGCAAAACGCCGCTGGTGCAGGCCGTGCTAGGGGTGAGTGTGGCAGGAAGCTGCACGCCAATGTGTGCATCCTCTCCCGGGTGGAGCGCAGGCTTGTCCCGGCTGGGCATGCAGGGCTGAGGGCCCTGGTGTGGGGGCCCTGTAGGGGGCCATTTCTCGGCTCAGTCCTAGGCGCCCGGCTCCCCAGGGTTCCTTGATCATCTGTGAATTCCTTCTGCAAAACGGAGCAGACGTTAACCAAAGAGACAGCCGGGGCCGGGCGCCCCTGCACCACGCTACGCTCCTGGGCCGCACCGGGTGAGTCTCTTGAGCCTGCCCCTCCCGGCCTCAGCCGCGCCCAGCCCACCTCGCCTAGACACGGCCCTCCGCTCCCAGCCAGGTCTGCCTGTTCCTGAAACGTGGAGCCGACCAGCACGCCTTGGACCAGGAGCAGCAGGACCCGCTAACCATCGCCGTGCAGGCGGCCAACGCAGACATCGTTACGCTGTGAGCACGCGCGGCCGTGGGGGCGGGACTCCCCAGCGCCGGGTCGTCAGAGGTGCTGCCTCACACTGCGCCCCTCCCCCAGGCTCCGTCTGGCGCGCATGGCCGAGGAGATGAGAGAGGCTGAGGCCGCCCCCGGCCAGCTGGGCCCCCTGGCGGGCAGCAGCCCAACCGAGCTGCAATACCGCAGGTGCATCCAGGAGTTCATCAGTCTCCACCTGGAGGAGAGCTAGGGCTGCGCAGGCCGGGCAGCCGGGGGACCCCAGCCCTGCCCGGCCCGCCCGGCCCGGACCCTGCATGCCTCTGAAAATCCTGGTCCCCCACCCAGCCACAGCCCTGCCTGCGCAAGGTCCATGGGCCCATCCCGACAGCCCCAGTGCCCTGGTGCTCCTGGAGCCCCACGCGCCTGCTCATCCCTCCTCCCGGCTACCCGTGGTCCCCCCCTGGCCGGGAGTGAAGGACCCCAGCACTGAGTCTTGAAACCCCACGTTTTGGGGGGTGCTGCATCTTCTGGTGCCCCTCACCCCACTTGGGGAATCTCTGTCTTCAGGTGACCCCTTCTTCAGGGGCCTGGATTGCTAACGTCACAAATCACTCGAGGCCTGTGTTACCTTGTCCCTCTCTGCCCTCAGGGTCAGTGTCATCTCTTGCCCCCACTTTTACTGCCGCGGAACACTGACCTGCTAGCTGGGTCCTTCTTACTCACCCCCCAGAGCCCCTCCTCTAGCCTGGGGCTGGTGGCTGGCCACCAGCACCTTCCCAGAGCAGGAGTGGCAGCCCATCCAGGGAACCAACCCAAGTACCTCACTTAGTGACCCCAGTATCAAGGCTGGGCTTTTGCAGGTGCTGGGTGGGTGGGCTCTGGCCTGGGCTCTCTGCCTGGGACGGACGCAGGCGTCCCAAGGCCATGTGGCTGGCCACGACGGCCCCTGGTGCTGGTTGGCCCCAGACCCTCCCTGCCTCCTCCAGGGAGGAACTTGCCCAGAGCCAGGCGTACACCAAACCCACTGGCCCTTCCCACCACACCCACTGTTCTTTGTTACCCACTGAGTGGATTTTCTACAACGGCCTTGTTCCGACTTTGTCTGCGTTTTTTCCTCTGGACTCTCAAGGACCACCCTGATCCCAGCTCTGCCTGCTGCTGGGGGGATGCCCCCATAGCTCTGCCCTGCCCCTTCACTGGCCTCGCCCCTTGGACTGAGCCCTCTGATGGGCCCAGGGGTCTTTTGCTAATTTGGGGACCCACCAATGCCTTCAAATTCTCCTTTGTAAAAGAGCCTCAGGACAGGCTGAGCCCCTCCACAACTGTGGGTTCTTGCTGGTCACTATGCAAATGCTGCCCAGGGAGGCTCCACCGGCAGTAAGGTGGGCACTGGACTGGGGCCCCGATTCCCCTGCCTGCTGGCTGTGACCCTAAAGAGCAGAATTAGCTCTCTCTTCCCTGCTTGAGCTTGCCCACCGCCCACCCTGCCACCTGCCATCCTTAGGCTGGCAGGATCCCACCCCTCCTGTTCCAATCACTCACGGTTAATAAACCTCTGCCGCTTGCGCCCACTGCCTGCTCATTGGCTCACTGCCTTGCACTGCTCTGTCTCATCTGGGGATGTGAATGGGTCCTCTGCCCTCCTTGAGCAGCAGCTTTGAGCAGGGTCCCTCCAGTGTCCCTTTTCCAAAGGCCAGGGGCCTGATGGGGGACCAAGGACTTCTGGCATCCCCAGCCCCCATTCCCTGGCCTCTCTAACTTCCTCTAGCTTAGCTGGTGACCCCTGGTGGTAGCAGGGGTGGGTGTACTCAGCCAGTAAGGATGGCTTGGGCCTGGTCCTATATAGTGTCTCTCCGGCCCCCATAGTGTGACTGCTGTGGTCTGTTCCAAGGAAGTGTTGGGGTGTGATCTGAGATCTGCAGCTCACCCCAGCATGGGTAAGAGGAGAGCCACACACACACACACACACACACACACACACACTCTGGCCACTGTGAATCACTGATTTTATTACAAACCTTGCCTTGGTCCTGCCCTGCTTCCTGCCTGGCCCGAGGCTGCCCTGAAGCCGAGGCAGGCTCTGCCTGACATGCACACACACCAACACACAGATGTAGACAGAAGTGCAGACACCCAGAAGTGCACAGACAGGACACCAGATGCACCACTATGGAAAGGCACTTCTGCCCACACACAAGCATGCACACAATCATACCCGGAACTCAGGAATCTAGATAGGAGGGGACCTCCCCTCCTCTCTGCCCTCGACCTGCTCCAGACCCAAGAAATCACTGGTGGGTGGGCAAAGGGAAGCCCTGATGTATCTGCATGCCCACAGACTCAAGTCTTTGTGAACTGTTGGGTAGACCCAACCAGGTGGGCCAGTCTAGCCCATCTTGGACATCCAGGGGAGCCCACTCTCCCACAGGGTCAGGCCTAGGGGTCAGATGCCCCAGGGCTGGTTCAGGTGTCAGGAGGGTCAAGGGACAAGAGCTCAGCCTATGTCTTCTGCCAAAACTCCTTCCAGTGCTCCTGGGACACTGTGTAAAAGTGAAACACAGCTGTTCCCTCTGGAACTTTGCAGGTATGCCTGCAGTCCCCGGGCTTCAATACTGGTATGGGCTGGCCCCGAGGCAGTGCTGGCCCCAGGCTGGGACACCCATGCTCTGCAGAGCCGATAGAGGCCCAGCAGGAAGGCTAGGGCCATGGTGTCCAGCAGCAACTCCAGCAGTTCAAGAACAGAGAGGACTGATGAGCCAAACCACAGGCTCCAGAGGCTGCCCATGGCTGAGAGCAGCTGGGGAATCTGCGGGTGGGTGACAATGAGTGGGGTTTGGGGGCCTCCTGCACCTGGGAACCTCTGAGCAGGGTTGCACTGTGGTGGCCACCAGTGGGAGTGGCCAGATGCTGCCCTGCCTTCCCCCAGCCCAAGCCCTGGATCTCAGGTCACTCACAGAGTACACGGGTGCCTCACCCACCATTTGGTAGTTGAGTTCCTGGTAGAAGATATTCACCCTGGCCACAGTGCTACTGGAGTGGAAACAGCTGTGAGGGGCTCAGCCAGGAGGGGCTCAGCCAGGATACCCCCTGGAGGAAGGGGTGCACTCACCGGCGGCTGTGGCTGTGGCTCCAGCTCTACAGGCCCCACTTGCCAAGCACAGCGACTGCTCCCCTCTCCAGAGGGCACTGCAGGCAGGTGTGAGGGCAGGGACTACCCAGGAACCTGCTGAACCCATCCCCACCATGCCCTGGCCGCTCACAACAGACTTGGCTGAAGGCCACCTAGAGGTCCCCGCAGAGAGCTTGTATGAAGACTCCCTGGGAGAAACAGGCCAGTGGTCACACCATGCAGCAGCCTAGGGCAGTGACCCCTGACCCTGGGCCCCACCTCCCAACTCACCTGCAGGACCTGGGACAGCAGGAGGCGCGTGACAGCTAGTATGTTTCCAGGTCCTGGAGGAGGTGGTAGAAGCAGTGACCTGGAGAGGGGTCGTGGGGGCATGGTTAGGAGCCACCATGGTTAGGAGCCACCCATCCAGCAACCCTCTGCAGGGGAAGAGGGCGGAGCTCAACCCAGACTGGGTGCTTCGTGGCTGCAGGACTGAGCCCTCGCAGGCAGTGGGTAGAGGTGGTAGGCGCACGAGCAGGTCTCCACTATCAGTTTCTGGAAGGAAGGCAGGACTGGAGAGCAGCAGAGATGGAGGGGAGGCCCTGTCTGCGCCGGGACCACTCTCAGCTCCCGGACATTGCCAGCCCGCCCACACTCACCAGCCTGGTGTAGGAGGTGTGGTACAGTACAGTGGTCACACCATGCAGCAGCCTAGGGCCACGCCCTCTGAGCACCGTTTCCAGCGGGGAGGGGTTTCAGTTCTGCCGACCCTGCCCCCCAGGCCCCCAGGGTGGTGGGCCCAGAGGGTCCCCAAGCATGCCCGCCTCTTGGATGTCAACTGTGGTCTCCATCCCTGGCCAGATACTGAAATCCTGGTGCTCTAATAAGAGCGTGTGGTTGTGCCCATGAACCATGACCTTGATACCAGCCTGGGTGGACAGCAGCGTGAGATACTGCTGCAGCTCAGTCCTGAGGACCAGACTGATACCTGGTGAAGCTGAGAGGGAGGTGTGAGCCCCCGTCCCTCCTGCACCATCACTGCCACATGCCCACCAGGGACTGGCACTCATTGTGGGTGATACCTGGGTGCTGTGCGGCCCACACACCCTTCAAGGTGTGGCAGCGGCCGTTGGTGGGGTGGTGGGACATCTGGAAGTGCCTGGAACCTGGGGCCGGCTCAGGTCATGCCTGCCTGTGGCCTGCCTCCCCACCCAGGGTGCTGAGGAGCCATGCCTGCCTTCTTTGCAGCTAGCCCGGGGCAGCCTAGGTGTCTAGCCAGCCAGACCCCAGGATAGAACTGCACTCCACTGGGTGGGACAAAGGACAGCACTAGCCCTGCCCTGCTTACCAGACCTGGCAGTCCTTGCTGTCATAGTGGCAAGACAAGATGATGTGGCCACGATTGCTGTGCTGGCCATCCTCCCAGGCAGTGGGCAGTAGGGCCAGGACGTCCATGTAGTGGAAGCGGTACCACTCCTGACAAGTAAGTGCGGTAGAAGCAGTCACCACCGCTGCTGTTGCACTGGAAGGTGGGGAGTCAGTTCAGACACAACTCCTCACCTACCCATGACCAGGCGCACTCTCCTTGGGCAGCATGCCAGCACCCCCACACCAGTCTGAAGCCCGCCTTGTGCTAGCTGTACAGGTGCCTCATCCACTGGCAGATGGATCCCATGGAGCTGGATGGGGGGCTTGGGGCCAGAAACACTGGCAGGGGGGACATTGCTGCCCTGGGTGAAGTTGTACTTGTATAGGGAGTAGATGTTCTCCTGGGCAAAAGTGTCCAGCACCTCCAGATGGCACGCAGTAGGGCTCGGCTTGGGGGCACATCGTATCAGAGCCACTGTCCCAGGGCCCCCCATGTTATCCCCTAGGGCATTCCTGGAGAGACCTGGTGAGGGCCCCTCACTGGTCCCCAACAGGCAGCACCTTGCAGCCTCAGCATCTCTATACCTCATGAGGACTCAGCCCCTCCCCCACTTGAGGAGGCAGGAGAGGGACTTTGAGTTGGGAGCTGGACCTGGGCTCTCCCCAGGGCTGCAGAGCTGAGATCAGACCCCTAGCCTGGCCCTCCCCCAGTGCTTCACGTCCTCCTGCATGCCCCCACCTCCCTTCGTTCCTGCCCCCTCCTGGGGGAACCCCAGCTTGCAGGCCAGCTCAGATTGCCCTGTGGAAGAGCCCCTCCTCTCCTCATCCCTGGGCTCCCAGTGACTGGGTGTCCCTTCACAAGTCCTGGCTGGGCACAGCATAGGTCATCACCCATGGCCAGGCTTCAGGAGACTGTGCTCAGGGAGAAGTCCCAGGATGTGAAGAGACAGGGAGCCCGCCCCTCAGGCCAACACCCTCGGGTCCTCACTGGGGTGAGTTCATGTCGCACAGGGTGACTGAGGGAAGAAGAGCTTGCATTCTGAGTGCACGGACACTGTCATGATGACTGGGTAGTGCCAGTACTGCTCCAGCAGGAGCCCAAGCTGCCAGCAGAGCACCCCCAGGGTGCCCAGAAGCAGCAGCCCCCAGGAGGTAGTCTTGAGATGGCTCCAGCAGGAGCAGACCAGGCAGACCATGCCATGGTTGGTGGCATTGGAGCAGAAGAAGGCCAGCAGGTCTCTGAAGGAGGCACACAGCTCCACCAGCCACCACCCCCCCTCCTCATACGATGGCAGGGCCAGCTAGCTCTGGTGGTGCTTCCAGGGCCCAGGCCCTGCGTCAGACACTTGGGCCATGGTTCCACCCTGTGTCCAACAAGGGAACCTCAGTAGGCCCCTGCCTGCCACCCAGGTGGCTCCCTGCGTGACCCAGCCAGCAGCCACCACCCACTCCCAGCCCAGCCAGGTCTCCCCATCCAGGATCTGGCAGTTCTCTGTTCTCTGTCTCTGGAATATCTGGACATTCATGTCCCTTGGCCACAGAGGCACAGCCCAGCCTGACAGACTTTGAGGACTGTCCACATCTTGGCCTGAATTACTTCTTGTGCCTTGGGTGTGGCCTGCTGGGGCCCAGCACCCTCCCTCTGCCGAGGCCTGGGCTGGTATCTGCTGCAACCCGGCCTGCCTGTGCCCTGTTGGGTGTGCCCAAGCAGGCTGCTCCAGTGTGCTCTGGGAACAGGCGTGTCAGGGCAAGCCAACTAGCTTTTGGGGTCCCTGGAAGCAGGGGTGGAGGCCCCCAAGTGCCTTGCAGCACTGAGTGCCTACAGTGGCCACACAGGTATCCTGCGGTCATGCCAAGCCCTCACAGGTAAGCCAGGAGGGGGACTGCATGTTATGGGAGGCAAGGAAGGTCCGATTTTCTTAGGAACAGAAACCCCTGTTCTGAAGGGTGGGGGAACTCCAGAGAGGGGACTGGAGGACCAGCTGCAATCTCTCGAGGCACAAGAAGTGGGCACAAGAAGTGCCCTTGCAGATGCCAGAGGCCTCTGGCACCGCAGGAGATGAGGTGCAGCCCTGAGGCCCACACAGGTGCTTACACTCACACATGTCTGCTCACACTCACCAAGAGTGCTGCCCAGCATGGGAGCCCTCAGTCAGCAGGCCACACAACAGAGGATGAACTGGAACCCTGCTTCATATGGCTGCACACCCTTCCTGCCCTGGTCCTTCATGTCTGAGTGTGTGAGAGACAGGACCAGGCCAACCCCTCTGCCCTGCCTGGCTCCATGCTTACAGTGTGGCCAACACATGGCTCGCATCGTGTGTCTTCTGTATGGTTATTGGCGCCGGGACACACGCTATTGGGGGCGTTCCCCCAGGTGCTGTGCCCACGGTGTCTGTAGTGTTCCTTTGGCTTCTATTTAGCAAACACTGTACACCACAGTGTGTGCAGTGTCCTTTGCTCCAGGCCAAGTCCACCCAAAAGATGACCTACCCTGATTGCCACGAAGGGCCTTCCCTGACCCCCAGGAGCCAAGTGCAGGGAGTGGAGCCCTTGCCAAGCATCTTCAGTACCTTGAGTCTGGGGGCTTCCTGTGCAGGAGCCTCCATTCCTCATCAATGGTGTGGTATGTGACCAAGATGGTGAGCGCTTCGGAGCTTCAGTAGGTCACTGAGCAGGATGTGGCTCTAGAACGGCTGGGCAGCTGCCTCTTTAACAAGCTGCTGGGTGTAGGGTGGGGCTTCATGGGAGGGGCCCAGCCAGCAGGGGCAGCCATACCTGCTCTGGACTGGAAGCTGAATTCTCCAGGCGGTAGAGATGTGGGGTCCCTCTGCCAGGTAAATCTTTCTCAGCCTGAGCTATGCAGAGCAGGCCTGGGCCCCTGACCCTGGCTGGGGTGAGGGGTAGCCATTTTTGGAGGGAGAGGAGAGGCCCTTGTTGGGCTGGTACCCCCTATCACACTGGCCCCTCAGACTCTGTCTGGCTCTCAGAGATTTGGGCCCCTCACCTCCCTGCCCACTCTCCTGCCAGCCCTGGAGGAAGGCCTGCTCATCCCCGCTTGCCTGGCTCAGGCCTCCAGCCCTGACTATAGGTGTCTGTGGCTGAGGGACCCTGGGTGGGGCCTCACTCTCAGAACACAGATGTTCCTTGAAACAAGGGCTCGACGTTGGTAGGGGTACTAATTGTGAGAACAACCTCAGTCCTGGGTTTGCAGAAGGCACCTGGTGGCCTCACCCTCTCCCAAGCTGAGGTCACCACCGACCACACTGAGATGACAGGTCACATGCTAAAACCATATACCATGTACTAAAAGCACAGCACAGGATAGGGCACCCACAGTGTGGTTGTGTAAGGCTGAAGGCAAGATGACAGGAGCCCCTGTCCTGTCTCTACAAGGGGAGCCTGCATTTCCCCAGGTCGACCAGTGGTCTCTGCATTCCAAATGGCCAGCGCTTCATCGTGGTCCCAGTTGGAGGGGTAGGTTCCAGCCCTGCTGCCACCTCATCAGGGCAAGCTCTGGGTTTCTGACATTTCACCCCAAAGGACTTGGGTTGGGATGAGGAAGGGAGCCCTGCTCCCATTGGGTCCAGATTGCATAGCCTGGACTCTAAGGAACATTGAGGTCCTTGGCCCCCTGGCTCTGGAAGCAGGCAGAGGCTGGGGGTGACAACTTGGGAGAAGGAAGTCAAGCTGGGGAAGAGCCGGCCCTGGACTGGCCTGGGTTGGTGCTGGTCACAGCTCTGTCATTCACCAAGGTTCCTGGCATTACCCAAATTACTCAACCTCTGAGCCTATTTCCTCAATGTAACCTGGGGCTGAAGTTTCTCTTCCAGCCCCAGGATGGACCAACTAATGCAGCTGGTGCAGCCCCCAGACTCAGCACAGGCCTGGGGTTTCTCAGGCCCCAGTCCTGATCCTTCGGAGGGTCGGGCCTGTGTGAGGGTGCCATTTCCATATTCCTTCCCAGCAGCAGGGGAGGAAAGGTGAAGGGCCCCAGGCTCTCTCGGGGTAGCTGACATTGAATCAACTTGTGCCTTCCAGCGTTGCAGGGGCTGCAGAAGGAACACGGAAGAGGAGCTGGGCTGGGAGCAGGAGCATGCCTTCAATGACTCAAATTGGGCTGTGAGGGTCCTTGACATCACAGGAAGGGGCTTCAGGACCGGTCAAAGTCAGGCACAGAAGGATTTTATTGACAGAAAGCAACAAGTACACACTTTGAGACAGGGCAGTGTGGGCCGTTGGAGAGGAACCATGTGGTGTAAACACTCTGCTGTGTGAATTTCAACAGTCCTTCATCGAGTCATATTGAGGGTCTGATTGAGAGCGTGACCCTGACATCCAGAGCATAACAATCCTAAAATAGGAGTCACAGGAGTCATCTTTTGGACCCGCTTTTCCTCATGCAGGGGAGGTCACCAGGACTGTGCGTGGGCGTGGGTTTTTAAACCTCGCCCCCCCTTCCCACCTGCTCCTTCTTCCACCCCAACCCACCACCTGCCGCCCCTGCCCCGCCGAGCTGCGCCCCAGGGCCAGGGAGGGGCCGTGGGAGCGGAAGTCCAGCCTGGGCCCAGTGTCCACGGGCATAAAGAGCCCATTCACGGGCTGGGTGGGAAGCTCTGGCAGGAGACACTGGAGCTATTTTTATGAGGACGGCAGTCCCCGCGGGAGGGGCGGGCGGGCGAGGCAGGGCTGACTGGCAGGGTGGCTCAGAGGACGCGGCACTCGGGAGTTAGTCTGGACCCCGGGCCGGGGGTTCCCCTCCAACTGGGCCTGTGTGGAGGGTAGCGCGTGGTGGGGGCCGGCGGCCACTCGCTGACCCCTGGTCTTCTGCGGGACAGCGTCCGCGCCGGGCGACGCCTGGGAGGAGCCGGGAGGAGCCGGGAGGAAAGATTCCTGCGGCCCAGCCCCACGGCGCTGTCCACCAGTGCGCACGCGCCCGTCGCGCACCTCGGAAGCCGGAGACAAAACCTAGCGGGGCGGGGGTGACAGAGAGACACGGGCGCCGTCCTCCAAGCTGCCTAGAGTGGTCGCTATGGCGAACCGCGTACCGGAAGCGGAAACGGGGTCGGGGCCCGCCCCGCGAGCGGCCATCTTGGAAGCTGAGGCGGCGGCGGCGCTGCGGCGGGTGCTGTGCGCTCGGTCCCGGCGCGGTGCGGCTCTGCGGCGTGGGCCCTTTTCTTCCGCACCCTGCTCCGGCCTCGACCACGGCGAGCCTGAGCGCGGCGGCGGCCCACCTGCGGCGACGGGGAGAGGTGAGGGCGCGCGGGCTGCTCGGTGGCCTCGGGCCGCTCGTCCGCCCCTCCGGAGCCGGCCACAGGTCCGGACGGGGGGCGCGGGGCCTCGGGGTCACCGCACGGCCCTTCCCGGTTCGCGTCCGCCGCCCGCGGGGCCCCGGAGCCGAGGTCGGTTACGGCGGGGCGCCCGGGGTCCGGGCCGCGGGTAGTCCACCGTCCGGTTGGGCGACTTGGTTGACCCTACGTCAGGGTCTGCCGTGATGAGGCCTCCTGTTTGGGACGCTTGCGGGTACTTTGAGGCGGAGCTAGCGTTGATGTTGGTTTGTAAACGTGTCTGGAGAGTCGTGAGCTTGGAGGGCGGCTGTCGTTGAGCCCGCCGCCGCTTCGCTCCCAGCAGTTAGCACCTCAACTACTTGGCAGCTCCCAGCAGAGCGTGCCAGCATTGTGCCCTGGGCGTGGTGGAGCAGGAGGTGCGGCCGGTGAGCCAGCGCTCACCCTGGGCCCGGCCTCCCTGCCCACCTCTGCACCATCCCACCAGTGACCTTCGGCCTCCTTCTCAGTGACTACCACTTAGCAGGTGTGCGGGTAACTCCTTCAGTTTCCTACGTGTTGTCAGAGTCAGGTAGAAGGCTGATAAAGAACCCAGTGGGCAGGCAGCTAATGAGTATGTAACAGTTCGCCCATTTATTTGTAGGCAGTGGTACAGAGCTCCGTTCAGTCCAGGTGGTCTGGTATAATACGGCTTTAGAAGAGAGGGACTTCAGGGTTTTACCTGATTGAAAGGTTCACTTCCCGCACTTCAGGCATGTTAGGTCTGGGTGCCTAGAACTTGTAGCTGGTAATCTGCACAGCTTGGCCTTGTGGACTTCTGCAGCAGATCTTTTCTCAGGCAGTGTTGTTCTTGCCTGGTGGTGGGGGGTTGTCTTCGTCAACCCCTGGATTTTCCTTTCCAGCTTATGTAGCAGTCTGGAAAAAGACTGTGTGGAAGTCCTGGGCCTGGGTATGTCATGTGCTCAGTCAGACCAAGATCTCGTGCCACACTATCACCTGAGTTTTATGCACTCAAGTGAGAGAGGTCTAGAGGAGAAAGGAACGGGGAAAATGGATATGGGTCAGGTACCACCTTGGCATAGTGACCCCCCCCCCAGCATTGAAGGTGATTCAGGTTGCTTTCTGTCAGTTTTTTTGTGTGTATATATATATATATATATATATATATATATATTTTTTTTTTTTTTTTTTTTTTTTTTTAATTTGTGCCACATTTGTGTTTTCTTCTGTGGGCACTCTTTCCTTCATGTGACACACCTGGGTGCTTTGTGGGAACTTGGTTGGAAGGGAGCCTGAAGCACATGTTTCCATGTTTGGACTTCTTTGTGGGACTTTCCCTGTCCTTGCCCTAGGGGATGGAGACCGTTGTCCTGAGTGAGGCAGAGGAGTTGGGGAAACTGAGTAGTTGAATCATAAATATAACTAAAACTTATGTGTCTAAAAGCAAGTATGGGGCTCAGTGGTAAAGCACTTGCGTAGTATGCACAAGGCCCTGAGCTCACCTCCACACTGCAAAAATGAATGAATGAATAAATAAAGGCAAGTCTGAGAGAGAAGTTTTTCTTGTGACTAACTTGGCAGGATCTGCTTTGTTCATTTTGTATGGCTGACCACCGTCATTAAGGGTCTGACCCAGCTACTCAGCTGAGTCCAGACAGAGTTTGTATTTGAGCTACCCAGTGAATTATTTTGTTCATGATGGAGTGTTAATCACAGGAACGAACATTTCCATCTTGGGTGGTGGACCTGCTTGTGGATTGTTAGGTTTCTCACCAGGTGCTGGTATGAAGTAAGCTTTCTATTCTAGGGCATCCCATTCCAGGCCTGGGAACAGCGCTATGTGGAAGCACTCCTTTCCTAGAAGGACTCTACCCTTCTCTTGGTGCTGACACGCTTGGGGAAGGTCAGGCAATGGAGCCTGTCCTCCCCTTTGCTGATGCCTAAAAGGCCTCTACTGGAGGGTGTGGTTTGGGCTGTGGAGGCTGATGGTGAAGGATGGGGTGGTGCATTTGTCTAGAGCAACTGGGCTTGTGAGGGGCATGTGGTGAATGAAATGAGTAGGGCCTAGGTGTATTTTCAGTCCTTCAGACTGGGCTGGGAAGCAGCCATGAGAATGGGTGGGTGTGTCAGGCTGTATCAGGAGCCTTGAGAGGTAGGAGAACTGTCTGGGCTACTTCAAGGGATTGGCAGACAGGGGAGCTGTTGGTGTTTGTCTGCTTGGCTGTGGGGAATACCGAAGGACCTTTGTAGGGAGGTGATGATCAAAAATATTGACATAAGTGCCTCAGATGGATTGAAATGGGGGAGACTAGAACCTTTGTGACTGACAAGAAGAGTAATGAGGTCCAGCATTGGGGTTAGTGTAGTAGGAACAGAAAAGGAGTGAATAAGGATTACAAGGATCGGGGACCCCCATTGGAAGCTGGGTGGGCATTTGTCCTGAGGCCATGTCCATGGAGTAGTGCAGTGGGTGCTTTGGCTGAGCCCTGCTTCTGCAGGCTCTGGGGGTACAGAGGAGCTGGCAGGTGGGGAGGCAGATACAATAGTTTGTGGTGGTGGTGCTCTGGAAAAGTCAGCCAGGCCAGGGACCAAGAGTCTGGAGACCTCTAGATAAGATGACATGTAGGCAGACCCTGAAGAGGGTGAAGGAGCACGCAGCCCTCCAGGGGGAACCATACCTGCACGTCCCCAAACCTGGGTTGACTTCTGGTTTGTACTCCCTGGGAGATTAGGATGGAGATCACTGGTTGTTATTGATGTCCTCTGGTGTCTGGGGTCATTATTAAAGTCTTTGACATGTGAGCACTCAGGAGAGATGAGTTGGGGACACAGTGGCAGTTTTTGTTGGTGGCAGGAGGAGGAGGAGGCTACAGAGGGGGCGAGTCTGAGCAGTGCAACAAGGTATAGCCATGGCTCTCTGACTGCCCACCTCCAACCTTTCCTCGTCTATCCGAGCACATCTCCTGCTTCTTCCTGTCCTCTTCATCTGGTGTATCCCCGTGTATCCCCTCTGTCATATTTGAGCCAGTGGTTACCACACTTTATTTTTAGCTGAAAAAAAAATTTTTTTTTTATCTTAATTTATGAGAAACTCCAGTGTGGAAAAGAGAATGAATAAGAGTGTTCTGATGTCTATGTCAGTAGGGAGCCTTGTATACCTCATTGCTGCCCCCTCCTCACCTCAGGAGCATGACTGAGGGGTTCCAGGGTCCATGATCCACTCTGTTATGGTGTGGCCTCGTTCCCCACGCACAAAGGTGCCATCCTGTGTGTTCCAAGCTCCAGAGTGACATTTCCCACAGAAGACCCAATCTGCTTAAGGCTGGGATCTAAAACCCTTCTGGGGTTCTGCTTGGCAGCCTGGCCCACCTGTCCTCACCTTGCCTCACCAGCTAGTCTTGTCCCCCAATGTTTTGCTGTGCTTAGGTATCCAGCACAATGATCAGTGCAGTCCCCTAGGCATGCCTTCCTGCTTACACAGTGAGTGCTTCAGAATCTTTTCAAAGTCCTCGTCTCTTGAACCTCAGAGCTTCTCTTTTCCTGTCTCTTATGACCAGTGGTAAATGTTGGATCTTCGGACTGACAGACTTACAGGGTGGGAGTTTGGGGCTGGTCTGTGATGCTTGCCAGTTTTCCTTGATATGAATGCTCCCCATTATTGAGGCCTTGCTGAGAAGAGTTGGAAGATGTGCCTGGCTACTCTTTGGAGCTAGTCCAGGCTGGCTTCACCACACTTACCTACAACCTGTTAAGTGAGTTGTCTTTACTCACATAAGTTCTTAGAGGACAGGCGTGAGCCTTCATGGCTCTCCTTGTCTTTTGCATCTGTTGGGTGCTCAGTAGTACATGTTGGGGAACAGATGGAAAGAGAATGAGGGTTAGGGGCCCAGAAGGATGACCTGCTGTGTAAAGGAATACAGGGTGCGAGACTGCTGAAGCGCCTGAAGGTGGGGAGAGCCAGTGGGTATCTCTTCTCTGTAAACAGGAGTGCTTTTTTTAATAGATGAGCAGCAGCAGCAGCAAGAGAGCCCCAACAACAGCAACCCAAAGACTGAAGCAGGACTACCTTCGGATCAAGAAAGACCCGGTGCCTTACATCTGCGCCGAGCCCCTCCCTTCCAATATTCTTGAATGGTAAGACGGTCTGTGCCACCCCTGTGCCCTGCTGCTCCACACGGGCTCTCCACTAGCCCAACTAGAGGGCCTGGTGCTCCTGGGCATGGCTGTGGAGAGGCACTGCTGCACCCTTAGCTGTAGTGGACACCAAGAGACCTGAGGACACTCTCTGGTCTTCTTCCCAGCTGGTGGCATGCCAGGGACACTACAGGGTCCTGCTTGGCTTAGGCCGGAGCTAGAAAGAGACCCTTCTTGAGGAGTCCCAGGGCAGGCTTCAGGTGTGCAGGATGCCTGATGATCATATGTACCTGCAGGCAGCGCTTAGAGGAGAGCCTGTATTTCTAGACTCTCTGTACTTTGCTTTTGAATTTACCTGGGAGTATTTGTGACAGGGTCCTGACACTCCAGGTGCCCCTAATCTTTGGACTGACAGAGGGCCTGTGGAAAGCATCCATTCCACCATCCCCCCCCCCCCTTTTTTTAAATAAACTTAAAAAAAAAATTATTTTTTAGTTGTAGTTGGACACAATACCTTTATTTTTATGTGGTGCTGAGGATTGAACCCAGGGCCTTTCACGTGCTAGGTGAGTGGCCTACCGCTGAGCAACAACCCCAGCCCCCACCATTACCTCTTTGACTGGATTAAAAGGAACTACACACCTCTACTGAAATGCCATGGCTAGCTCAGCTGGCAATTTTATGAGATGTGAAATATAAGGCTGAGGTGTTAGAAAGCACTTTCTCTTTGTTTGGATCTTTTGTCTTGATCTTCAAAAAATACTTTACTTTTTTTTAAATCTAAAGCAAAAAGATTTTAACTGAGTTACAAAGCAGCATTATGCAGGTTGCACAGGATCACCGAGGAGGCCTAGCACTGGCAGGTGGGGCTCCTGCTGGGGAGGTCAAGCCCCTCAGCATGGGGGGCTTCCAGTGGCACCGGAGTGCTCCCCCGCTCCCAGGACATAGCTGGCAGGTATGGGGGCTGTTCCATGGTGGCTTACCTCTTCCCTGATTCATGGGAACATCCTTATTGTGTGGGAATCCTTCCCCACACGAGTCTATGGGTCAGGGGTTCCCAGGACCACCTAGATTTTTTTGATGTGCTAGAAGGACTCATCATTTAGATTTATTATAGTGAAAAGATGGCAGAATCAGCAGAGGGAAGAGGTGGGTAGGAAGAGCATGGCAGCTAGGTCCCTTGTCCTGGGTGTGCATACAGGATGCCCTGAACTCCTGGCAATGAGATATGGAATGTCAACCAGGGAGACTCCTCAGAGATGCAGCACCCAGGCTTTCATTGGGGGCTGGTCACATAGGCACCCTCTGCCTGGTACCCACTCAAATTCCAGATTCCTAGGAGGAGAGCAGAATTCAGTGTGAACTATACCATCTGTGTCCATCTTGTCAGTTGGGGTGGTAGGAACCGCCCAGGACAGGTGGCTCAAGCCTGCTGTGAGAGCTTCGTATGGCACCATGGGTGTCTCTCCTGTTGCTGAGAGAAGAATTATTGGGCTTTTCCTGACAAGGACTACGATGAGGGGTTTAGGGCTGTGGCTCAGCGATAGAGTGTTCGCCTAGTACATATGAGGCACTGAGTTCGATCCTCTGCACCACATAAAAATAAATGAAAAGGTATTGTGTCCAACTGCAACTAGGGGGGGAAAAAAAGGGATACAATGAGCTGAAGCCTGTAGGTCCTGCCCTCTAAGCATAGTAGACTGCTGGCTCCAAGGAGAGATGTGCTCATCAGCACTTCCTGGTTTTCTCAGATTGGGCACAGTGCCTGGGAGCAGTACTAATTAGGCCATGTTTCTGGTGCACTGTGTCCTTAGCTTTAAGCCCTTTGATTGGTCCCTAGTCCCCTGGCATACATTAGGTGATAGTCGGCCCTGTGTGTCCGCAGGTTCTATATTCATGGGTTTAACCAACAAATACAGTTTGAAAATATTCCGATGAGAAAAGTTATGTCTGTGTTGAATGTGTACAGACTTTTTTCCTTGTTATTGTTTCCTAAACAGTACAGTATAACAGCCATTCTCAAGGCACTCGAAGTGTTTTAGACATTGTAAGGGCTCTAGAGATGATCTGAAGTGTGTGTGTGGGGAGGTATGTGTTGGTTCTGTGCAAGTACTTTACCATCTTACAGGAGGCGCTTGAGCAGCTGTTGTGGGCTTTGATGTCCCCAACATGGGGGATTACGTCCTGGAACCTTGCATACAAGAAACCACTGTAAATCTTAGCAGCTAGCCCAGGTCGAGTGGCCCCATTGCTGTTGATGCCACGTGCTCGTGTCCTGGTGGGAGAGGTGTCTGGAGTCCCAAGTGTCAGCAGGTGCTGGCTGCTGGTCGCTTTCACCTGCTTCATGATTTTCTGGTTGGTGGTTTTGTGTGAGAACTGATAAAGCCCAGACACCTTGCTGCCTTTCTAAAGCCACCATCTGTTTTATTTGCATGGGAGAATGTAATCTCTTCACTGGCACTTCTGGTTTGGGTTGAGCTCTGTGTGAGTACTGTGGCTTTGGGGCAGTCAATCACAAGTTGTCCCTCCTGCTCAAGAAAGTTGTGCTGAGATAGTTTCCTTTTCTTCAGGATCATCCATGTCAGGTGGGCAACACAGAAAGCTAGTCTCACATCACCAGCTGTGCCCTGTCTAGCCTATGTGATTGATATAAAAAACGTAAATTGTGTATTTCTGCTTATGTTTTTAAATAACTGCATCCTTTAATGGCAGTAAAACGATTATTGGATTATCAAGTACATTGGACCCAATACCTTTATTTTATTTATTTTTATATGGTGCAGCGGTTCGAACCCAGGGCCTCGTACGTGCTAGGCGAGCGCTCTACCACTGAGCCACAACCCCAGTCCCTCAAGTACATTTTAATGTATTATAAGATTAAAGTTTTAAAAGCTTCAGTTGATTATAGTTGGCTAACTCCTTGTCTGTTGCCTGATGGAAGCAGAAATGCTTCAGGGAACTTGGAACGCGCAGCCTCTGCTGTGCACAGTAGCCATGCCTGTGATGCCAGCCACTCAGGAGGCGTGCAAGGTCAAGGCCATCCGTAGCAACTTAGACATTGTCTCAAGTCAGGGCTGGGGAGGTAGCTCAGTGGTAGAGTGTCCCTGGGTGCTCCTTGGGTTCAGTTCCCAGTTCTGTGGAAGAAACAATAGTGCAGCCTCTGAGCTCCTGCTGCAAAGTGTCTGAAGTGCCTGCAGCACAAGTGGCTGAGGACCTGGAGCTGTGCTGTTGGTATGCGGCCTGCCCATGTTCACTGATGGGCTGGCTAAATGGGATTCTTGTTGGTCCTGTGACCCAAGCCTTTCAGGGATGCAGATGTTGAAGAACTTGTAATCCCAAACCCCAAATAATTTTTTTTTAATATATATTTTTTTTAGGTGTAGATGGACACAGTACCTTTATTTATTTATTTTTATGTGGTGCTGAGGATCGAACCCAGTGCCTCACACGTGTTAGGCAAGAGCTCTACCACTGAGCTACAGCTCCAGCCCAGACCCAAGTAACTTTCTCTTCTCCTTTCCAGGCACTATGTTGTCCGCGGCCCTGAGATGACCCCTTACGAAGGTGAGTGGGTGTTTTTTGAATGGACCTGCCTGTTGAACATCGATTTCTGTAGAGGATAGTCCTTCTAGTTTGTATGTACAGTGGTTAAAGTGCACCTACTTGGAACGTGTCCTGGTATTCCTCCAAGCCCTAGCAGTGTGCGTGCAGTTTGGTTTTGCTGGTGTGTCTAAGTCTCCAGGGACTGACTGTAAGCATTCATGTTCTACCAGCCTCTAGCACAGCTGGAGGTGCGAAAACCAGTTTGGGATAAACAGTAAAACGTGACCATATTTTTATGTTTCTAAGGCCAGGGGCAGTATCTTCAAAGAGGCCTAGTCTGCTAGGCATTTTCAGTGTGATCTTCAGAACAGCCTCTGAGCTAAATGGGGCCCCCTCTTGTGGCTTCAGGAGGACATAGGACCTGCCTGACTCCTTAGCTCTCCTAACTGCTACCAGGCCTCACCCAGTGGCCTGACCCCTTAGGTCACCTAACCATCTAGGGTCCTTGGTTGTTCACAAAGTAGGCAGGAGCTGTCAACCAGCAAGTCTCTGGGAGCCTGTGGGGAGAATTGTGGCAGCCTTGGGTTTGGACCAGGTCAGAAATGTGCCCATGGATACTGTTCTGCAGGCATACCCAGGGCAGAGTACTGGTCAAGGTGGGCAGTTCCTTGGCTTCTCAGCCATGAGGCTGACTCTACATGACCAGAGTAATAGGCTTTTGTCTGCCCACACATGGAGGTTTTGCGTAAGACTCCCAAGAGTGGAGAGGAATTGGAGAAGCACTGCTATGGCTGGCTATGGTTCAGCAGTGTGGCCCTCATTTGGATCCTAGCACCAAAAGAAGAAAGAAAAAACTGCTGCTTTGGATGGTCAAGGGAGAGCTGTGGGTAGCTAAGAATTGAAAGACAACTCTCAAAGGTGGTTTGGCTGATGTTTTGCTGGCCTTACAGTGGGTTCCCTTTGGCCCAGGAGTCCCGTTCTGAGATTACAGGGAAGCACATCTAGAGTGGCGTTCCTGCAGGGTGGGCATGTTGTGACAAGGCTGTGTACAGTGGCATGAGCTGGAGGATGTGGCCCATGTGTTTGAGAAGTCCCCTCAAGAGTCCCTAGAGATGTGGTGAAAGGCTTAAAAAGAGTTGGTCCAGATAAAATGGAAATACTTAGGTAGTATGTGTGTTGCTAACAAACTTGAAGAACATATACCAAAAATGAATGAGCAGTGGGTAACTCAAGCAAGTGGATTATGCTGGTCTGTAAGCTATTTTAATCTTTTTTCTTTTCATATTTTCCAAATAAATAGTAAACATTTATTAATTCTGTAACAAACCCCACACCCTCCACAGGACCAGCCAAGGTTGTCTCTGGTGAGGACCGGGGCTTGAGAAGAAGGTGTTTAGGGTGGGGCCTTGGGGGCAGCCAGATCCCTGCCTGCCCTAACCTGTCAATTGTGCTTCCATATTTTTGTATGGCCCTGCCCAATTCTGGGGTCCTTCACTCCAATCTTCCTAGTCCCCTCTCTCTGTGCAGCTCTCTGTGGGGCCGTTCCCAGGCTGTCAGTGTGTTAAGCCCTTTTGGCAGTTGCAACCTCATCCTCTGCTGACACCAGTCTCACAGGGTCTTGAAGGAGCCCCTCTGAGGTGCCACAGCCAGGGGCTGTGCTGGTATCTGACACCATTGACTGATTCCTTCCTGGCACTATGAGCTCTAACTTCCTGATATTCTGGCCTACTCTGCCTGCCCAGGGGCTCCTCTGTGGCAGTCCTATTCCTGGCGCTTTCAGGCACACCCGTGCTGACAGTCCTGTGGAAGTGTTGCTAAAGAATTTTCACTAAATAATCTGGAATTCACACAGTCCTGTCAAAGTCCCAACAGAGTTTTAGATAGATTTATCCTAAAATTTACACGAAAGGGCAAAGGACCTAGAGTTGCTAAAAGCCACGTTTTAAAAGCACGGTCAAGGGCTGGGGATGTGGCTCAAGTGGTAGCACGCTCTCCTGGCATGCGTGCGGCCCGGGTTCGATCCTCAGCACAACATACAAAGAAAGATGTTGTGTCTGCCGAGAACTAAGAAAAATAAAATATTTTTAAAAGCCTACCTTTAAAAAAAAAAAAATTAAAAATAAGTAAATAAATAAGAGCACGGTCAAGTGCAAGAGCCACAGGTCTGCAGACCTGTTCTGCTGCTCCAGCAATGATGACCAGGTGCCCGGATGGGAGAGACGGTGTGGAGCCAAGTGGGGAGCCAGAGCAGTTCTGCACTGCCTGGCCAGTGGGTGTTGATGCAGGTGTGGAGTTGGCACTGTGGGGGCTTCTGGACAGTGCCCTGCGTGGGTCTGTTTCCCCGGGGCTTGGCCAAGCTGCACTGTGGCCCACTCCTAGTGGACCTTGGGGAAGCTTGTTCCCTGTGCTTCTGCAGGGCAGGCTGGGGTGGTGGAGGAGCTCTTATAGACTCTAATTACGTCCTTGAAGGAGCTGCACTTTGATCTCTGAAGGAGGATCTGGCTTCTTTGGATAGTTTGATGAAAGTGCCCTTCTGGTACCTCCTCATACTTCCAGGATGAAATCTCCTGGGACTCCTGCAAATGCTAACCCTACTGTCAGTTTAATCTTCTGCAGTTTAAAATACATGTTTTTGTACACAGAGAAATGCATACTTCTGTTTTCTTTCATGGTGAGGAGCTCAGTGTGTGTGCTGTCCTGTGGCTTGCTGTTCAGTTTGCTGTTCACATCTTATACAGGTTCCTGCTCTGCTTGGTTCTTGCCCAGTGTCCGTTCACCTGACCCTTCTCTTGAAAGGCAGGTGGGTGCTGCCCACTTTTCACTTCTGCAGACAAGTGCTGATGTGTGTGGTTCTCTTGCCCTTAGTACATAACAAAGCAGGACCACCAGCCAGTGGAAGTCTGTGTGCACAGCAAGGCGGGAAGGTGCCTATCTGTACCACCCTCTTTAAGCTAAAAATGGCCCTCTTCCTTGCTGTCTCAGTCACATGGTTCCTGATCAGCCCTGAGCTGAGTGAGTTTCACATACATGTTGGCTGCTCCTCCCTTCTCTTTGGAAAAGTGCCTGTTGAAAGCTTTTGCTCATTTCCTGATTGAGCTTCTCTTGTTGATCTTCTTGAGCGTGCACGTGTGTGCTCTGATCTCCAGTTTGGTGAGCTTGCCTCACAGATGACCCTTGCCCATGTTGGCTCCACAACTGTTCCCTTGTCCTTGAATGCTGGCCCCAGGGCGGTGCCCAGAGAGGAAGCCACTACATCCCATGCTCAGGCACTTGTCACTTTGTGGAGTGGCAAAGAGTAAAGAAGTACAGCTCATATCTTGGGTGGGGCACTGCACCCTACTCAGCATGGCATTGAAGCACAGGAGACCTGTGGCTATTTGGGGACAAGGGTGTCCAGGGTTGTTGAGGTAGGACTATGCTCTGGGCAGCAGGGAGTTTGGGAGGGGGGAAAGAGCCCAGTACTTCTCAAGCCTGATGGTCACACACACCCCTGCGTGTGTTGTCAGGGAGTCCTGTCCAGTGCACATTCTGCTCAGGCGTCTCCAGCCAACTCCTGAATGCAGCTGGGAGGAGGGGTATGAGGCCTGGAGTGACGGGGCTGGGGTTGCCCTGAGGTCATGGTGAAGGGTCACAGGCAGGGGATGCAGAGCTTGTCTGGCATGTTGGGCTCTGGATTGATTGAAGGGGGGCGCCTTGCTTATAGAGTGGATGCAATATTAGGGGCACAGTGGGGTCCCAGATTTTAGTCAGAATAGCTGATGGAATGTAGTAGGCATTTGGGGGAAATGTTTTCTATCTTGGATGTGTACATTTGGGGCAGTGTGGTGTCGATGGTCAGTGTACCATTCTGGAGCTTGGGGAGGGAGGGAGTCCCTGGGTCCAGTGTTGAGAGCTGCTGGGGAGCCATTGAGGGACTCATAAGGGGCAGCCACATGTGGGAGGAACTAAGCCTTGTAGGGCTTCAAGGACACAGAGTCAGTAGTGATCCCTGGTAAGACCATGCTGCTGAAGTGGTGAGATGCCATGGGGACCTGTGGGTAGGCTTGAGGTCAGGCTTGGTGCACCATGGTGAGGGCCAAAGCCTAAGCAAGGGTGTATTTGTGAGCATGGAGGCAGAGGGTTTGGTGAAAAACACTGCAGATGGGTCTCCAGGGGCTTACATGAGAGTGAGGGAACAGTTGGCAGAAATTGGAGGAGTGTGGGCTCAGGTGTTTTTTCTTTGTCACCCCCACCCCCCTCAGTACTTGATTGAACCAGGCTTTCTTTCTTTTTTGGTGTGCGGGGCAGGATGGGTACTGGGGATTGAACCCAGAGGACTTAACCACTGAGCCATATCCCCAGCCCTTTTTTATATTTTATTTAGAGACAAGGGCTCTATGATTTACTTAGGACCTTGCTAAGTTGCTGAGACTGGCCTTGAACTTGAGATCCTGCCTCAGCCTCCCAGGCTGCTGTGATTACAGGTGTGTGCCACCATGCCCGGCCGTGAACCAGATTTTCATGCATGCTGGGCTTTGCCGCTGAGATCCATCCCCAGACCCCAACTTTTTTTTTTTTTTTTTTTTTAATATGTCCATTTCTGACCTGGGTCTGCTTGCTTCTCAGACAACCTGATGGTCCTCTGCTCCCATGAGGCACCATATTGGTACTGAATTTACCGTGGATACCTGATTAACACAGTGTACTGCAGCCCAGAACTCCTGGGCTCAAGCAGTCCTGCCTCAGCCTCCTGAGTAGCTGGGACAAATGTGTACCACTGTGCCAGGCTCCACCCCTTTTAACAAAATCTTAAGATGGGATCTCATTAAGTTACCCAGGCTGGCTTCTAACTCTCTCTTTTTTTTTTTTTTAGAGAGAGAGAGAGAGAATTTTTTTAATATTTATTTTTTAGTTCTCGGCGGACACAACATCTTTGTTTGTATGTGGTGCTGAGGATCGAACCCGGGCCACAAGCATGCCAGGCGAACGCGCTGCCACTTGAGCCACATCCCCAGCCTTGGCTTCTAACTCTTGATTCTCCTATCTCAGCCTCTCAAGTAGCTGGGATTACAAGTTTAGGCCACCACACCCAGTTCAAGTGTACTTTTGTTTAGGAAGGGTTTGCTAACCTCTGAATGGTTGGGCTGGAAGAAATGGGCACTGTAAGAGCCAGAGAGTTGCTGGATTGGGACCTGGAATAAGGGAGGATTGAGCTGTGTGCAGCTCCTGAGGCACTGCAGGCTGGCAGACACCTGCATGTTCTCTTCTAGCTACTCTGCTCTCAGGGGAACATGGGTGGTCCCAGGAGAGGAGAGGTGTGCCATAGCCATAGTGGGGCTCACAGTGGTCATGAGTTCCCAGGGAGTGTTCTGGAGATGGGGAATGGGGTGAGGTGCTCGGTCAGACTGATAAGGTGCTAGGGGAGCCTGGGCACTGGAGAATGCCAGTGGTGCTGAACCTGTGAGCCAGGACGGGGACAGGGCAGTGGCGACTGCGTGTGGTGGAAATCAATGGAGAGGGACTGGGGCTAGATCTCCTTGTGCTTGGTGATGACAGGGCTCTTTCCTTTCTGTTTCGATACAGGTGGCTATTATCATGGAAAGCTAATTTTTCCCAGAGAATTTCCTTTTAAGCCTCCTAGTATTTACATGATAACTCCCAATGGAAGGTTTAAGTGCAACACGAGGTAAGCTTCCAGGGGGCAGTGCTTTGAGCCATGGCTGACAGGGAGTGCCCTTCTGCTCATAGAGCACCTTTCTTGCAGGCTGTGTCTCTCTATCACGGATTTCCACCCAGACACGTGGAACCCAGCGTGGTCTGTCTCCACCATCCTGACCGGGCTCCTGAGCTTCATGGTGGAGAAGGGTCCCACCCTGGGCAGTATAGAGACCTCGGACTTCACGGTGAGGTGTAGCAGCGCCTCACTCCAGGCCTGTGGTGGCACCTTGGCCTTCCCTCTTGTCTATGGTTATTTGTGTTCCTCAGATGCACAGCCACTTTTTCGTCAGCAGGTGGAAGCTATGCACGGTTCTATGGTGTCCTCATTTCTGGCCACTTCGTGGAACTGCTCTGCTCTGTGCTTGCTGATGGAGTCTCTTGGCCTTAAGCAATTAAGCATCACTATGGCTCCAGCTCTTCTTAGAGGGTCTGGGGGACTCTAGACTGGGAGTACACTGTGTGTTCATTATTAGCTTACATTTCCATTTTTAAAACGGGAGTCAAGTTTAATGTTATTAATTATAATGAGAAGACACACAAACCTTCGTAAGACCTTGACTCGGGGAGAGCAGACTCTTAGACACTTTCTCCAGCAAGAAGAGCAGCCCTTGGGTAGAGTGCTTCCCTCGCATGCACACAGCCCTGGGTCCAATTCCTAGTACCACAAAAAAAAAAAAAAAAAAAAAAGCAGCCCTTAATTCTAGAATGGTCTGTTTTTAGAATTTTGAAAGAATTAAAATTAGCTTTCTGAGTGACATTTTCCTTCTCTCTCTTCCTAGAAAAGACAACTGGCTGTACAGAGTCTAGTGTTTAATTTAAAAGATAAAGTCTTTTGTGAATTGTTCCCTGAAGTTGTGGAGGTAAGAAAGTGAAAGCCGAGCTCGGTTTTGTCTTTCCTTTTGTAAAAGCATTTTCAAATTCGAGTCTTCCAAAGAGAAGATATTTACAGGTCCCCATTGTGTTCCTGCAGATGTCACAGGTGTCACACAGGCTCAAAAGGTCATCTGCTGGACATGCCTCCAGACACATACCCTGGGGACACAGGGCTAGGCCCCCTCTGGGATCCTTAAGGCAGGAGAGGCAGAAGAAGCCCAGAGAGGAATGGGTGGGGGTGGTGTTGGGTCTGGGCTTGCTAGTCAGAGTGGCCACCCCCAGGTGGGCCAAGAGTGGCGAGGAGGCTCATCTGTTGCTTATTGCTTTGAAGGCTGGGCCTCCTCTGCCATGTGGGGCTGGGTGCTCTCTGGTTTTGGCATTGCAGCAGAGAATGTGGCAGTAAACAGAGGTAGCTTGCTTCCTGGTGGTTGAGGCCTTGGTATCTCTAACCTGGCTGAGAGGCACAGGGTAGTGATTTTGGCAGCCTGCTTGGTCCCCTCACCTGTAAAATGGGACCAGGAGCCATACCCACCTCAGTGTGTCAGGATTTGGCCATAGAATGGAGTCCTTCATTCTCAGTGATGGCCCTGGGCTCCTTGGAATTGGAGAACTGGTTTGTTCAGACCAGCCATGGTTTCCTGTGTTTTTCTCTTAGGAAATTAAACAAAAACAGAAAGCACAAGATGAACTCAGTAGCAGGCCACAGACTCTACCCTTGCCAGATGTGGTTCCTGATGGGGAGATGCACCATGGCCAGAATGGGGTCCAGCTTCTCAATGGGCATGCACCGGGGGCCGGGCCCCACCTTGCAGGGCTCCAGCAGGCCAACCGGCACCATGGACTCCTGGGCGGTGCCCTGGCGAACTTGTTTGTCATAGTGGGTTTTGCAGCCTTTGCCTACACGGTCAAGTATGTGCTGAGGAGCATCGCACAGGAATGAGAGACACCAGAGCCAGGACCCTGTCGCTGCAGATGCAAGTGCCAGAGCTCGACACAGGCGGGCTGGACATGCTGCTGAGCCAGGGCGGGCCCGCCGGACTCCTGGGTTTCTCTTTTTAAAAACCTTAAAAGGAAAGCAAAAACCAAAATGTGTGATTTGGAGGAGACAAGAGATCCTCAGCTCCCTCTGCTCACCTGGTGTGGTGTGTGTCGGGGCCAGTGTCTACCAGGGCTGCTCACGTTTGGTTTTATAGCTTATCTCCTGTATTGTCTTTTGGACCTGTTTAGTAAACCTGTTTTTCATTTTATTAGATTTGGTCACTTAAAAATATAAAACTCAATGCCTATCAAACACTCTGCGTGTGTTCTTGGCAGAGCTCTGGACGCTTCAGCAGCAAAGGGCCGGAGCTGGGGTAGGGCCTGCGTTGTGGCACCATCCCAAGTGGTAGAGCCAGTCAGCGGGCCAGCGACAGCATGGACAGGGACCCAGGAGAGAGGAGATTTGACTCATCATAAAAACATATTTATGGTCAGTTGGAGTGAATCAAATTTCTTCTGCAAAGTGCTCCTTCATTTTTCTGTCCAGGTAGAAGAGTCTGCTTGCTCTGTGGCCACTAGGTGTCACCCTTTACTTGGAGCAGCCTCTGAGAATGGCAGGCAGCTAGCTTGTGGTCCGCCTAGTTGGACCACTAGCTTCTCTGGGTGCTGTGGGGCGGGAGGGTGGGTGCTGGGTGTCTGCAAAATCTTTTCTCTGAATTTCTCGTGTCCAGTTGGCAGAAACTTGTCTTACTGAGCCACTAGGTGGAGACCCTTGGTCCCGGGGTGGGTTCTGTGCACTGTTGGACTCTTCCACTTGGTCCAAGTACTTTCTTGCACCTTAGAGGTAGGCTGTACTGTCCTTACTAGTTGAGCACATCATTGGCTCGTCTGGGTCACATAAAGGAAGCTGCCCTTGGAGGACACGTGGATTCACTGTCAAAGCTGGCATGGTCTCCGTGTTGGGACCTGTGTCGCCTGAAGGGCCCATGTCTTCCCTTTTCAACATTTGTGTCTAATGACTGCAGCTGCACTGAGTGTTTTGAAGATGCATCACACTGGGAAAACTGACATCTGTGGGGCACTGACGGAGCCAGTGGTGCTGTTCAGTGGCGGATGTGGCCTCCCATCCATCAGTCACCACTGGGTCCCCACTGAGGCCCACAAACCAGACTCATTCCAGAGACAAGTGGCAGAGCTGAAGCACAGCCTGCATGCTCGACTCTGGCTTTGTTTGTGGTCGGTTGATTTAAAATTGCTCTGTATTTCACTGCTTGTGTGTTTGACCCACCTCTTTGGAGAAGAAATCTTTCATTATACTTCTGTTCCTGAATTTCATGCTGTCTTCATCTGTGTTGGTGGAGACTCCTATCCTTGCTGGGTGGCTCAGGCCTACAGGTGGGGGTCTTTGGGGTCACACCTGCCTGGCCTGGGGACAGTGAGTGTTGCCACCTGAGGGTGAGTTTTGGAGGCAATGTGGTGCTGCTGGGACCCTGGCCCACCTGGCCTGGACCCTGGCCAGGAGCTATCTGTGCATGGCCACAGTGGGTGAAGCATACTTCCTCCTTTGTTGGGAGCCAGCCAACACTTGGTCCATGGCCTGCTTTAAGGGCACTTCTATAACCATTGGCATCCATTCCAAATCCTTGATGTTTCCTGGGGCTGTTGGGAGGCCGAATGTAACCAGATTTAGAGTTTACCCAACACCTTATTTACTGTATGTGAAATCTCAACTTTTAACAGCCCTTAGTCAGTGGTGGAGACAGACCCTGTGGTGCCCATGGCTTGTTGCCTGCATTGGCTTCAATAAAAGATGACCTTTGTTCTGTTGGACCAAGTGTGTCTCCCTTCTTTCGTGTTGCCCTTTCTGGAAGGAGTCTGTGGGTGCCCTTGACTATCCCCCACCGCCCTCAAGGAAGACCTTCCTCGTGCAGAAGGAAGAAGAGGCCCTCACAAAGCTTACTATCAATGGACACTGGAAGCAGCACTCCAGTGGCCTCCTACTGTTCCCCTGGGAAAATTCTCCAGCCTTTGAGGATTTCATCACAGAGCTCAGAGTGTGAGAGGGAGCACCCTCCCTCTGCATCCAGCTGGTGGGCAGCCAGCAGGGAGCCCTGAGTTTCTCTAGGGCTTGGGGAGCCTGGGTTTGAGGCTGAGCCCCTCTCCTAGGGCAGCCTGAAGTTGGAGCCCAGATCTGTGGCGCATGGAGTCCAGAACCAGTGCAGTGACAGCAGGGAGTGGGTTATAGTGCATGTGATCCCGTGAAGGGGGGACGATCCTTTTGGTGTCTTGAGGTGATTTTGAAGGGGGGGATGCTAAAGCCAGAGAGCTGGTGACTATGGGGCCTGTCCCTGAGTTCCGGGCTCCTGGGAGTGGAGTCTGCCCTAGTACCTCACTGCTACAGGCCTACATCTGGCCACTGACCCTTTCCCCTCTGCCATGGGGAACCTCTGTGCGACAGAGCTGGGGTTCACTGCCAGTGCACTCTGCTTTCACGCACAGAAAGGTGAGTCCCGTAGGAGGCAGGTGGCCCAGAAGAGCAGGGTCTGATCTGTGGAGAAGTCTGGCAGCCCTGGGTGGGGACTCCAGAATTGAGGATTTGCCAACTCCACACCCTGGGTCCCGAGCATGCTGGGTGCAAAGCACATCTAGGGGTCATGTGCTGGGGTTCCAGGGTGGGGCTGTACTGAACCCACCCCCACCATCATGGCCACCATTCACCAGTGGACAGGAGGGCTGATGTTGCTTCCTGAAGGGTGGAGGCCTTAGCATTGTGCTTGGGAGATGCCAAATTGGCCTCTGCTGTCCCTGAAGGTCGCCCTTCTGTCTGAGAGCAGGAGGGTGAGAGTGTGCACTTCCCTGACACCCTCCCTACCTAGCTCTGCAAGGGGTGGGGGCTGTGAGGCTGGGCCTCCTGTCTTGTCCACCTTCACCTTCTCTGGGTCAGTAAGTTAGGGAGGTTGGAGTGTCCCGTGGTAGGCAGGGGCCAGGACCAGGACCTCTAGGGCCAGGGTGGAGCCACTGTTCCTGGTGGACCAGCCTCAGAGGTCCCCCTCACTGACTGAACCCAAAGGGCCTGTGGGCATGGTCTGGCCCCAGAGACCTGCTGCCTCAGCCTGGAGGTGGTCAGAAAGGACCCCTCTCCCCCACAAGCCTGGTGGAAGGAAATCTTGCTGGCCAGAGGTCTTTGGAAGGAAGGACTCACCCTTGTGCTGAACTCTGAAAGGTCTGGGGACTCTGCTCATGCTTTGCACCCGGTGGGCAAGCAGTAAGGGTCAGGCCTACATCCACAAAGGGTGTGGGGTTGAGCAACTGGGACCACCAGCCTCTCTACTCCTGCCCTGAGGCCAGTGGGTCCCTCCCTGTGGGCCTATCCCCACTGGAGGAGGGTCCCTATACTGGGAATGTCTGGGGGGAGGGAAAGTCCCACCAGCCAGTTATTCCCTTGGTTCCAGGGGCGGGGGTGTGGGGTGGTGGGTGGGGGTGAGGTAGGGTGGGGAGCTATGTCTGGAGCTCCTCCAGGGCCTGAGTAAGGGGCTGGGGTTCTGTACCCAAGGTCACTCTTGACCCTGGCCCTGAGGGGTGGGTGTGAGAGATGCAGAGGTTAGTGTGAACAACCTCCCCTCCTGAGGAGGGATGAGGGGCAGGCTGGGGCTATTTCCAAAGGACTAGACAGCCTGAGAGGCAAGGCCCAAAGCCTCAATAGCCCCAGCTCCTTAGGAGGGCATGAGTCCACGGTCAGTTTGGGTCCCGCCCCCTGCCCCGCCCCGCCCCGCCCCGCCCCGCCCCATCCCACCCCGCCGTGGGGGCGCCGGGCAAACTGTTTCAACGTGAGCCCTCCCCTTGGAGCCCAGAGGCCCAGAGGCTGGGGGAGAGGAGCGCGTCCGGGAGGACACTGCGCGAGGCGAGGCGAGTTGGCGCTGGCCTCAAGGGGACACGCTGCTGTTGCGCCCCAGCTCTTGGGCGCCCCGCAGACATGCACCGGCGGCGGCCGGGCGCGCCCCTGGGCCTCGCCCCCGCGCGGGGACTCTGAGTGCCGCCGCCCCCGTGAGAGCACCTGGCGGCTGGGGATCGCAGCACTGAGCTGCCGCCCACATCCAGCCATGCGGCGCTGGGCCTGGGCGGCAGTCCTGGCCCTCCTCTGGCCACAGCTCGCGTTGCTCTGGGGAGTCGGGGCATGGCGGGAGCCCAAGAGGCTGCGGCAGCCCGGCCAGCGCACAGAGGCCCCCAACGCCACGGCTTCCGACAGCGAAGGTCTGCCTGGCTCTCCCAAGGTATGCACAGGCCGGGCACACGTGGGCCCCGGGCACAGGTGCACAGGGGCGGCTTTGGGACTGAGGTCATCGGATGCCCTCCCAGGCTCTGCCACAGAGGTCCCTTGGTGGGGTCTGCCGCAGCCCCGACTGGGGCCCCCCCAATCCGCACAGGCCTGGAGAGGGGTTGGGGAAGAGAGGCACTAACCAAGAGCCCAGGTGAGGGAGGACTGGGGGGAGATACAATTAACTCTTTGCAGCCACAGGCCATGGACTTTGGGCAACCTGCTGCCATTAGTTGTAATTGCTAATTCAGGCGGGGGGGGGGGGTAAGAGAGCATGGCGCCCCACAGCCTCTAAGGAAGGTTGGAGACTCCAGATCCCTGTGCTTCCTGGGGATTCTGTGTGGTCAGCATCCACCTGCAAAGTGCCCTGTCCTTGGATGTCCCTGGAGAAGGAGACCCTGGCACTGGCAGGGTCTCAGCGCACAAACCTCAGGTGATGCTGCCATTAGTGGCAGTTATGTGCTTGCTCAGGGCTGTTGCTCTAGGGAAAGGGCAGGGGCAGTCTGGGAACTGATCAGTAGGAAGGACTTCTGTGGGACAGCTACCCAAATGTCCTTACTCTTCCTGGTGGAGGTGGGCTTGTTCACTGCCTGCTCCCTACAGCCTCTGCCCTTGTGGCTCAGTGCTTAGGCTCCGGGACCACTGACCCATACAAGGCATTGAGGGGACAAGCAGATACTGGATGTTTCAGGATTAGGGGTGCATTCTCTCCCTGGGTGGGTAATCCCATCCTGCCTGCTTCTCCAAGTCCCCCAGGATGGAGTCCTCTGATCTACTGGGAAGGGACACCAGTTAGCAGACAGGACCTGCTTTGGTTGGGTTGGGTCTAGGTCCACATCAGGACTGGACCCTGCCCTGGGTCAAGACCCCTTGGCCCACTTGCCTGGTTTGGTGGCAGCTCCCCTGGAGTGGCCAGGCTTTCCCTTGGCCAGGCCAATAGTGCCATGCTTCTGTCCATGTCATGTACTCTTGCCAGCCTCACCCATCATCCCGAGACAGGACTCATTCTCACTGGCCATCCTCTCTCTAGTCCACAGCCTTCTCTTTGACACCCCCCCCAGCCCCCCCACACACACACACCATATCCAGGACCAGGCTCACTGTCAGGGACACATTAGGCTGGTGAGAGGACCCCCAGCCCGGTGTGCACCCAGGTGTGCCCTTTCACAGGGTAACAGGGCCAAAGGTGTCTGGGCCCTCCCATAAAGGCCAAGACTGGGCATCATGCCCTGGCTTCCATAGAGGACCTGTCCCTGTCCTGCCTGTGTCCTACCACCAGGACATCAGGTTCTAGTCCCTGGGGTGACCCATCCTACTGGTCAAGGCAGTTTCCTATGTGCCTGAGTTTCCCCAGTGACCTGTGGTTCCCAGCTCTTTGTGGGGCGCAGTAGGACAGGCAGGAGCCACTGGGGTCTGGTGGTCATTTCCTAGCCTTGCCCCCCTGGCTCTGTAGCCGCTGGAGCCCTCAGGGCCTGAGTTCTCAGATGCTCACATGACGTGGTTGAACTTTGTCCGACGGCCAGAAGATGGTTCCTCCAAGAAACGCTGTCGCTGTCAAGGCCAAGACAAGAAGTTGGTGAGCCCCTGGGCTGCCTCGGGGCCAGCCTTCCCAGGATCCTCCAGGGGGTTTAAACCCAGGGCAGGGGTGGCACTGGCTCCTACTGGGACCCTCACTTTCTCCTGCCTCCCCAGCGAGGCCTCTTGGGTCCCCCGGGGCCCCCTGGGCCTCCAGGACCCCCAGGGCCCCCCGGTGTGGAAGTCGCCCCAGCAACCCTGCTTCAGGAGTTCAAGGACATGCTGAAGGGTGAGGCTAACCCTAACCCTCTCCAGGCCCAGGAAGCCCCCACAGGGCCCTCAGGGGCCTCACCCAGGTTGCCTCCTCCCTGCAGAGGCCACAGAACGGCGGTTCTCAGCATGGCCAGACCCGCCACTGTCCCGTGGGGCTGGCCCATGGCTGACGGTTGAGGCCTTTCACTGCCGGCTGAAGGGCCCCGTGCTGGTAGACAAGAAGACACTGGTGGAGCTGCAGGGTTTCCAGGCTGTGAGTGGGGGTGTGGGCCCAGGGCAGGTCCTGACATCTCTGGGGCACCCACTGCAAGTTCTCATTCACTAAGAGGGGTCTATGGGGACAGGAAGCAGTGTGGGGCCCCTACAGGTGAGATGGGCCCACGGACAAGACTGGGCAGTGTCTGAGCACATGTACGCATTGGCGATCTGGGGAGCCCATGCAGAGGGTGGGGGTGGCCTTGGTCAAGGTTAGGACCCCCAGTCTGCCCAGACTATTCCTTATACCAGGACTCTGGCAGGGCCAGGGTAACCAAGGAGCAGGGAAGCCCTCTGTGTGGGGCTCTTGGGTCCCCATCCACTCTTTGGGGCCTGGGTTCTGTGCCCTGAAACTCAGATGGAGGTAGACACAGGGGTCAGCCCTGTTCTTCTCCCATGAGAATGAGAACCGCTTGGTTCAGTGGCTGTCGCCAGTAGCGTCTCCCCCTGGTGAGGTGTGCAGGGTGAGGGTCCAGGCCCTGCAGCCAGCCGCTCACTCACTGCCCCTTACAGCCCACTGCCCAGGGTGCTTTCCTGCGGGGGTCTGGCCTGAGCTTGGCCTCAGGCCGATTCACAGCCCCAGTCTCTGCCATCTTCCAGTTTTCCGCCAGCCTGCACGTGGGTGAGCCAAGCTGGGCCGTGTGTTTGGTGAGGGTGGGGATGGGTTAGGCCTCAGGGGTGGACACCTGACACTGTGGGGACATCGGAGATGCTACTGCCCCATTTGGGGCCCTGTGTTCTGGGGCCACACATCCACCCTCCCCCAGCCCCTTGGGGTCTGCCCTTGGGCTGTGTGTCTTGAAGCCCCTCTCCTACCACTGTCTCTGCAGACCATAGTGAGCTGCAGGGCAGGGCCCGGCTGCGGGCCCGGGACACTGTGCGTGTCCTCATCTGCATCGAGTCCCTGTGTCACCGCCACACGTGAGTGTGCCAGTCCCTGGGTCCACCTTTGGGGCCGGGACCACAGGCAAGCATCATGAGTGTATCTGAGCCTTCACTCTTGCCCTGCCCAGGTCCCTGGAGGCCATCTCAGGCCTGGAGAGCAACAGCAGGGTCTTCACGGCACAGTTGCAGGGGCTGCTGCAGCTGCAGGTGAGGGTGGCATGCTGACTCAGGTCATAGCCACTTGGGGGTCTGCCCTTGGGCTGTGTGTCTTGAAGCCCCTCCCCTACCATTGACTGCACAGACCATAGGGAGACAGTGGCTGGGTTCAGGGCCAGGGGCTGACAGCCCAGCGGGAGTCACTCAGGACCCTGGACCTAGCGTCCGGGAGGGCACTGCCTGGTGGGGCAGCTCTTAGGTGCATAGGTGGTCCTTCATCTGGGCTGGGCCTTGGCCCCAGGTGCTCTTCCTGTGTCCGGGAGGCTGTGGGACCAGGATACCCACAGGCAGTGATGCCCACCGTGGTGCCTGCAGGCTGGGCAGTATGCCTCCGTGTTTGTGGACAACGGCTCCGGGGTGGTCCTCACCATCCAGAGTGGCTCCAGCTTCTCTGGGCTGCTTCTGGGTACCTGAGGGTGCAGAGGGAGCACCCTGTCAGGACCTGTGATTCCCCTCTGAGGAAGGAGGCGAGAAGACCCCCAGTGGATTCCTGTGGTCACAGCAATAAAAGCCCCAGTACTCTGTTGCCCCGGGGTACTGCCTGGTTATTTCATTGGTGGAGGTGGGCGGGTGGCCATGGTCTGCCTGATGGTGTGCGTGCAGCCCTGGAGGATAGGGTGTAGACCTGGGGGCTTAATGAGGTCCCTACCCCATAGCCCCCAGGCTCTCCTGCCTCTGGGGGAGGTTGCAGGAGCAGCCAGGCCCCCTGGCAGTTTCCACACGTGCTAGGGGCTGTGTTGACTCTGAGGGACCAGGACAGACGTCCATGTAGGTCCCAGCCCATGGCCTGGAACCCCCTCTCCTAGGATCTGTGCCGCCTTAGAAGGCAACCTGTTTGGCCTCAGGGCCCTGGAAGCCTCATCTTGGGGAGCAGGCCATGTGGAAAGACAGGCAGCTAGCTCTGGGGGCTGCATCCTGTGGGGGAGAGAAGAGCATTCGGGCCTGTGCAGGCCATGGGTGGGACCACACCACGAGCACCTGTGGGCCCAGGTGTGCCTAGCCACAGGTATGGGCTGGGTAAGGCTGCCCAGCTGAGACAGGAGAGGGACAAGCGGCAGGCATCCACTTCTTGCCACCTTCCCCAGCGATGGCCTCCACATCCCAAAGGCCAGGGGCTGTGGAAGTAGGTAGGGTGGGCTTGGCAGAGCAGCCTTCCACCGCGGCCCTTGAGGCAGGAGCTGCTGGCCAAGGCCCTGACTTTCTGTTGTAGGTTTGGGTTTGAGGTCACCTATGGCTACACCATTTTGGCTCTGGCAAACCCAGACCTCAGGATGCCTGGGGTGGAGTCAAACTACCCAGATATGCTTTCTGGTTGGCACCCAGGCCCTCAGCAGGTGGCAGTGGGCCCCGAGCCTCTGACTCCTCCACAGATGCCCCAAGGAGGGGGGCAGGGAGGGCCTCCTCCCCCTGGAATCATCTCCCAGAGTCAGGGTGGGAGGTAGCCAGCAGGCAGAGGGATGTGTCTGCAGGCTCTGGGCAGGGTGTGGGGTGCAACAGTAGGCAGGAAGAGGCTGTGCCCAAGGCTATTGCCCCTCCTCTGGGGACTTGACTCATCTGGGAGGACAGAGGAGGGCCCTTCCCTGAAGCCTGATCTGCAGTGGGAAGGCTGATCCAGCCAGGCATGGAAGCAGAACCAAGCAGGCTTGTCCACTGACCCGTCCCCACCTCTCTCCCTGATCCCCCCAGAGTGGCGTCAGGGGCTGGGCCTGTTTACAGGGGTCTCTGCTTCACTGCGGCTGTTGCCGCCAGGTTTGGCAGGATATCCCTTACAACCTGCAAGGGCCAGTGTGGAGCACCCCTGGGTCCCCCATCAAGGAGGCTGAGAAGGGAGGGCTACCTGGGGGGCCCAGGCTTCGGGCAGGTGACTATCCCTACCCTAAATTCCCAATTCCTGAGGTCCTGACGAGTCACAGGGGCCCAGGCTAGGTGAAGAAGTCCAGACTTGGGAGCCCCCTGCAGTTCTGTCACTACCCTTGCTGGTGCAGCCCACCCCACTGGGCCAAGGTGGAGCTCTGGGGTTTCCCTGCAGCCCCAGTCCCACTGGCCATAGAGAGAAAGGCCACATTGAAAGGACTATGAGCACATCGGTGGAGGCACTGAGGACCCAAGTCCTGGCGGAGGCAGAGCAGGACTTGAGAGGACGGGCGGCCTGGGCATATGTGTGTCCTCATGTCATGTCTGCAGTGCCCTGAGACGCAGGAGCCCTGGGACACAGATACCCCACTCACATCTGATTTCCAGGGGCTCCTGCCGGCCCAGCCCTGAATCGCTAGTCCACACCTCCCTTCTCTGCCCCGCGAGGAGGAGCAGCCCCACCCCGGGCAGAGTGAGCTAGGGCCAGAGGCAGCCTCCCAGGACAGTGGGCTTGCCTGGGCCTGGCTGCACCTGGTGGGGTCTCCCACCACCCTTCTCTGGGCTGTGGTCCTCTTGACTGCAAGGGTTGTGATGTTCAAGATGGAGCCCTAGAGAATGGGACCTGGGGCCCCACAGAGAGACAAGGAAATGAGAGATGAGACACCAACAGCGAGGCCAGCACTGCACAGCCACACTCGGGCAGGTGGCCGGGCTGAGGTGGGCCCCTCCTGGTGCCCGGCTCCACCTGCAGCCATCTCGGTGTGTCAGCCAGGGACCCCAGACCTGGACCAAGAATGGCCTGTGCCTCTCCAGTCAGTGTCCTGGGTGCTCGTGTTGATGGCCGAGTGTTCACACGGATGACATCAGGAACCTGAGGGTGTGTCCCAGTGTCCCCACACAGGTGCCCCTGAATGTCTTGAGTTTCTGTGGAGGGAGTGTGTGGGGGGGTCTCTATGTTTCCGGGGGTCTCTGCTCTGAAGCTCGGGCTTGCTTCAGGGCCAGAATTACCAGGCCCCTGTGCTATAATCATGGGGCAGGTTTCAGATGAGTCACTGAGCTCAGAAGTGGTCCTTGGCACCAAGGAGCCCCAGTCTTACGGACTTATGGATAGAGATGGTGGCCCAAGGTAGAGAGGTTGCTATCTAGAGCCTCAATCTGGCTCACCGTCATGGCTGCCCAGGGCATTTGGTGCTCCCTGGCTGGGGGAGCTTGGTGAAAGGGTCACAGGCGAGGGGCTTCTTACCCCCAACAAGGGGCTCCTGGTGCCCTGCCTTGGGAAGAAGCCCCTTGGGTGGCAGCAGGAACCTCGGGTCATCCACGGACTCCATCCTGTTCACTGACTGGGCTTCCAGGTTAGGCTGCTGTTGCAGGCTGGATTCCATCGCCTGGGACTTCAGCAGCCTGAGGTCTTCTGCAGCCTGGCACTTGGGCTGGAGAGCATTGTTGGTGTGGGCAACATGCCCCTGGCCTGCCGGCACAGTGTCACTATGGGCATTCCTGCCCGCCTGTGCGCCTGGTGGTTGTTTGGGTGGGCCTGGTGTGGAGTCTGGGGACAAAGGGTCTTTGTTTGGGAGGATTTAGGGCACTGCCCCTCCTGTGGGGCAGTGACTCACGGGTTCTTCCGGTGTGATAACATCAGTTTTGCAACAGCGGGCATGTCATACACATGGGCCGCCTGGCCCGGTGGGGCTCCTGCCTTCACCTGTACCCACAGCCCTGAGACTGCCCTGCTGGGACATGGGTGTGCAAGGTGGCAGCCAGGGTAGAGCAAACGAGAAGTCAGGGGTTGGAGGCCCAGCAACTCCTTTCCACAGTGAAGTGTCTCCATGAGCTCCACTCAGTCCCCGAAGCCTGTGTCCACCTCTAGCCCCAAACCCTTCCCTGAAGGCCTCCAGGCCTGCAGACCCACATCAACCCCAAGGGCTCCCTCAGCGGCAGGATGTACTGAGGCCTGACTCTTGGAAATACTTCCAGACAGCTGTGTGTGGATCTTTCTCTGGGGCTGGGAAGCCTTACTGGGACACCGTTGGAGGGTGAGTCCTTGACCCTCTGTCACCGCCCACAGGGACTTGAGCTGGCGTGGCCATCCATCATGTCACTTCCCCTGGGGATCAGAGGTGGGTGGCTGGGAGTGTGGGGCCCCTCGGGGGAGGCTGGGCCAGCTGAGACCTTCAGACGCCACTGTAGGGAGGGCTAGGGCTTGGGTCACCTCCCTCTCTGGTCATAGGCTGGGTCAGGCTCCAGATCAGTGGGAGGTGGAGCTGGACATGGGCTCTGCTTGGGCTCCTGCCCCACCAGACCTTGACTCAGAGGGTGGGCTCTGCTTGTAGTGTCCACTCTGGAGAATGGAGATGACCACTGTCCAGGCTCCTACAGGCACACTGCACAGCTCTTGGCTGTTCCCTGCTTCATGCTGCATTCAGCTCCAGGGGCAGCTAAGATGGGACAGGGCTCCCAGTGTTGCTGGCGAACTCTGGCTGTGGACCTCCTTTGTGGCCCCACTGGAGCCAGGTGCCAGCTTCAGCCCATGGAGATGCTGCTGGCCAGGCCAGTGTGGAGGCCTGAGTCTGGCAGGAAGCAGAGAGTTCAGGGAACCCGGCCTTCTGGATTCTTCTGCACCTGCCTTCCCTGGCTTCTCCCCATAGTGTCCTGGGCCTCAGCCACCCTCCTTGTAAGCCCACCCACTGTGCATATTCCCGGGGGGAAGGGATGAGGGGATCCAGAGAGTCATGCCATGCTGAAGGAATTCCAGGCATGTGGGGTGACGCCAGGCCCCAGGAAGCAGTGGGACGTCCTAGGATTGTTTCAGCGTCGGTGGTGTGATTGGTGTGGGGAGCCGAGAGAGGAGGACACACTTGTGGAAACAGAGCTGAGGGGGGCTGGCAGTTCCAAAGGAGAGGGAACAGGTGCCCACAGAGGCCAGTTGACGGTTGGGGGGAGGGGAGCAGGGCTGCTGGGGCTTCAGGGTCCCAGGAACAGAGATCCCTGGGAGGTTGGGCTATGGTCCCTCAAAAGCACTGTTTGCTTGAGGATGCTAGAATTTTATTTTATTTTATTTTTCCCCCCCTCACAGTTTTGCCTCATTTGGGCTATTCTGAAAAGGTCTGGGTGGATGGGTGCCTTGGGAGGACCCACTCTGCGGGCAGGTGCCTCCATGCCAACATGGGGGGCAGAAAAGGAGTGCTGTCCTCTGAGCCCCCACAAGGAGACCCTGAGGTGTCCCAGTGCCCTCTGCTCAACCACACACCCTGCCTTGCAAGCCTAAGTATCTCAAGCCCCATGCCTCCTAAGGCCCTGACACTATGTCCCCATCTCCAGGACCAGGACAGCACGTGGCTATGGCCACTCCATCTGTGCCAGGCTTCAGTCTTAGGTCCCAAGTCCTGATACTGCACTGATACAATGTGAATGTGGGGCATCAACCAAAGTAGGCTTTGTTCTGCTTTGACAAACTTGGTGTCCAAGTTGGATTCAAGACTCTCCCCCTTGCAGGTCAAAACCAGCTGCACACTGGCAACTCCATGTGGTCCGTCTGAATCCTAAGGCTCACAGCCCTGCCCACAGGAATGCACAGGCCCAGGGCCTGGCCTCAGGAATCTTCCCTGAACAATCGGCAAGTGTATGTGTGGACGTCTTGGCATGTGATGCCTGTGGTGCTCTCTGGAGTACTGT